TGCATTTAATATTGTCCCTCTCAGGCGATGTGTTTTCTCCTCCTGTGTCTTCTCTCCACTCTTATCTCACATTCCTCGGGCCAAGGCCATAATAACAAAGGTCCCATCTACAACAACTCACACTATTTCAGTCTCCAGCTCGGATCCCCTACCCCCGCCTCCCTCGATCCATCTTGCTCCCTCCCTCCCCTCCACTCCTCATTGTGTTTCCGACTCACCCCCTCCCTGACCCCGCCCCCCTCCCTGACCCCGCCCCCCTCCCTGACCCCGCCCCCCTCTGACAGCCACATTGGCCGGCTGTAGGAGGTGCTTCGTCCCGAGAAAAAATCCGTGCTTTATACAAAGCACAAATGTGTCTATCCAACTGTCTGTGAAACTGTATGTTATTGCTCTCTGCTGTTTATTCTACTGTTTGTCGCATGGCGCCGTAAAGATGGCGCCGTGGCAAGAGCTCTGGTGTGTGTCGTCTTCTCTGTCTGGTGCACACCGGGGTAGTCTTGCACAGTTTTCCAATGTGGTTTTACTGCAAATGGCAAATAAATGATTCTGATTCTGATTCTGATTCTGTTTTTTTGTTTTTTTCTACGATGCGTCTGGAAACGGCTGCAAGTCCTAAGTAGCTCTAAAACAGTTGTTTTGGGCTTAATCGATGAAAATCCACTGGAGGAATGCAAACTTTTTGAAAAATGCTAATGAAGCATTTAGCATTTTACTTTGGACTAGAGCAGAGAAAATGGTCCGAATCAAGCGGGTACTCCACCTTTTGAGCCGTCCTGCTCCACCCAGAGGTTACTCCACCTCTGCTGCTCTGACCTGTCCTGCTCCACCCAGAGGCTACTCCACCTCTGCTGCTGTGACCTGAAGGGCTGTTGCTGATTATTACTATTATTATGTTTTTAGAATGATTAATTTTTATTTTTGCTGCTACTGTTCACCTGAATTTCTCCTACGGGGATCAATAAAGTATCTATCTATCTACTGTATAGCTTCACTAGCGCTCTCAGCAAGGTCCTGGATTCGATTCCACCTTTGCTTGAACAATACCTGGTTCTTATAAATTTAGATATTATGCATTGTTTTAGTTTTAAATTCCGTCCATATCTTTTATCTGTGTCAACATGTCACATATTTCACCTTTTTGGAACAATAGCTGAGAGTGGAGTCCTTTATGTGTAAAAAGCACTTTGTTTTTAAATTAAGCTACTGTGGTTTGTATAAAGAAGACGAGGTCTCAGAGACGACGGGAATCAAAGGTCAAAACAAGTCAAATGGATTTCAAAATTAAACACGGAACTTGACATGACACACAAATTGGCTGTGGGTTTGTGGTCATATCTGCAGGTGAAAGCCAGATCCCGTCAGACCCGTCAAGCTAAGCCGAGCAGGGCCTGGTTAGTACTGTGATGGGACAGCTCTGGGAACACCAGGTGCCACAGTGGGGCGGCTGCGGCTGTAAATTGGCAAACTGTGGCTGTGTCCTTAGGCAAGACACTTCCCCCACATTAGAATGAGTCTGGTGTGTGTGTGAATGGCTGCTGGTGGGAGGGGCTTCTGTCAGTGAAAGAATATTGTCATGTGAAGTGTCTTTGAGCATCCATAAAAGCGCTGTATAAAACTTGCTGTGAACCACTGCTCCACCGTGTCTTCAGGCCAACACCTCAAAGCAATATCTAATAACAACAAACTTGAATTCAGTTCTCAAAACCCATCTTTTCAAACTAGCTTTTCCATAAACCCCTTTTTCATTATTGTTTTTCATTACCCATGTGAAGCATCTTTGAGTGTCCAAAAAAGCGCTATACAAGTTTGATGTATTATTATTCAAAGCAATATCTGACCACTACAAAGGAGAACATGAGTAATGGACTGGGATAATGCAGAATAATATAATGACAGAAAAATAGAAGTACAAAAAATGGAACCGAGTGGCGATTGGAATCATGAAGCAGGGTACAGGGACCATCAACAGAGATGAGGGGGCCTCCTGCTTGGCTCACACTTGGGACTCACTTCTCCAGAGACCACAGGGGGCGTGGTCAGTCTGAGGGTTCTGTCAGACTGACCCACATCCAGTAACGACAGCTGATCAGAAACACATCTCTCCATCCTCTATCCCGTCTGTCGTACAAACAAACACCCACTTTTTGTCTAATTAAAGTAACCTTCTAAGCCTCAAAGAGAGGGGTTGTTGTGGTCTGTTTTGTTCACGGCATTTTAGTTTTTATACGACTCTCTCTTCTGGGACAAACAACATGTATTATTCATGAAGAAAAAGGGGTAGGAGCAAATGGCATTAAAGTCTCTCTCTCTGGCTTTTAACACTGCAGGAGTTCTCTGGTTCTTCTTTTATTGGTAATTGGCATTTTAATGTAAGTTTAAATGGTATTTTATTGTGTATTCCATATATTTGTACGTAAACATATAAAGCATGCAGCTCTGTATCTATATGTGTTATCTCTGTGCAGCACTTTGGAAACTTTCTAACTTGTTTAGGCGCCTTGTTGATGAACTGTGATATACAAATAAAGCAGAACTCTGGCCACATTGTTCCACCAAAAACATTAGCTACAAATTCTGTTGTGTGTTTTTAATCCCAGTTCTAAGGACCAACCGCTGAAAATAATCCACCAATTATGTGTCCACCGCTAACAAAGAACTAATATAAAAAAGAAATAACTAAACTAAAATAAAAATACATGTTTTCTGCCTCAAATGTCCCCGCGCTCTCAGAGGTACATTGATTCCCATTATCAAGAGAAAGTGAACGCTGAGGGGACTGAGAGGACCAGGAGAACACTGTTTATTTACCACTAAATATTTGCAAATATTCAGCACATGTTTAGTTTGTGAATTTATACTTTCCCAGAACAGTGTCAAAGTGAGTTTGGCTCAATAATGTTACACAGAATTGTTTTTTGTTTAGTATTTGCAGTCATCTCATTTCAATTCAGTTAGATTTATCTGTGTGTACCCGGTCTCTCTCTCTCTGGTCTCTTTCTGGTCTCTCTCTCTCTCTCTAGTCTCTTTCTGGTCTCACTCCCTGTCTCTGTCTCTTTCTGGTCTCACTCGCTCTCTCTGGTCTCTTTCTGGTCTCACTCTCTGTCTCTGGTCGCTTTCTGGTCTCACTCTCTGTCTCTGGTCTCTTTCTGGTCTCTCTCTCTCTCTCTCTGGTCTCACTCTCTCTGGTCTCTGGTCTCTTTCTGGTCTCACTCTCTCTCTGGTCTCTTTCTGGTCTCTGGTCTCTTTCTGGTCTCTCTCTCTCTCTGGTCTCACTCTCTCTCTCTGGTCTCTTTCTGGTCTCTGGTCTCTTTCTGGTCTCACTCTCTGTCTCTGGTCTCTTTCTGGTCTCTTTCTGGTCTCACTCTCTCTCTCTGGTCTCTTTCTGGTCTCATTCTCTGTCTCTGGTCTCACTCTCTCTCTCTGGTCTCTTTCTGGTCTCACTCTCTGTCTCTGGTCTCTCTCTGGTCTCACTGTCTGTCTCTGGTCTATGGTCTATCGAGGCAGGCATGTCCAAACTCAGGCCCGAGGGCAATTGCGGCCCTCTTTGCCATTTTATGTGGCCCTTATGCTACAAACACAAAGTCGCCATTGAGGCACTTTGACAGTGTCATCCAGCCAGCTTCAGCTCCCCAAATACAGTCATGCTATACGGCCTTGTGAATCCAGTCGTTAACTTTTTTGTTATTTACAGACATTTGTTTTATGATTGTGTCACAACATTCCACATAAAATGCAGCTGTGAATCAATAAGGACGTATCATAACTCATTTTAAGTTCCAGAATCAAACCAGCTCCAATCCAGGTTAAGTCTGATGAACTAAAGCAGCTTACTAAAAAGTTTGGACACCCCTGCTCTATGGTCTGGCCCTCTCTCTCTGGTCTCTCTCTCTCTCTCTCTCTGGTCTCTCCATCTGGTCTCTCTCTCTCTGGTCTCTCTCTCTGGTCTCTCTCTCTCTGGTCTTTCTCTCTGGTCTCTCTCTCTCTGGTCTCTCTCTCTCTATCTGGTCGCTCTCTCTCTCTCTATCTGGTCGCTCTCTCTCTCTCTATCTGGTCGCTCTCTCTCTCTCTCTCTGGTCGCTCTCTCTCTCTCTCTCTGGTCGCTCTCTCTCTCTCTCTCTAGTCTCTCTTTCTCTCTCTCTCTCTCTCTCTCTCTGGTCTCTTTCTGGTCTCTCTCTCTCTCTCTCTCTCTCTCCCTAGTCTCTCTCTCTCTCTGGTCTCTCTCTCTCTCTCTCTCTCTCTCTCTCTCTCCCTAGTCTCTCTTTCTCTCTGGTCTCTCTCTGGTCTCTCTCTGGTCTCTCTCTGGTCTCTCTCTCTCTCTCTCTCTCTCTCTCCCTAGTCTCTCTCTCTCTCTGGTCTCTTTCTGGTCTCTCTCTCTCTCTCTCTCTCTCTCCCTAGTCTCTCTCTCTCTCTGGTCTCTTTCTGGTCTCTCTCTCTCTCTCTCTCTCCCTAGTCTCTCTCTCTCTCTGGTCTCTCTCTGGTCTCTCTCTCTCTCTCTCTCTCTCTCCCTAGTCTCTCTCTCTCTCTGGTCTCTCTCTCTAGCGCTATTTCAACCATTACAAAAATAAAATTTAATAAATGAGTTTTGAGCCTTGATTTAAAAAGGCAAAAATCAGTGACAACTCGCCTGTCGGGGGGCAGCTTGTTCCATTTCATTTCATTCATTCATTTATTCATTTATTTGAACAGGGACAGTGTACAATATACATTAACCTCAGAAAGGAGAGATGCATTGTACCAGGTTGTAGCACTTGTGCTAATTTCCACCTGCAGTCCCTGGGCAAACTGATGTCAACATACAAAGAGTCTAAAGTATCTGAGACGACTACTGTTGTAATTTAAAGGACTTTACAAAGTTGTGGATTCACCAACTACAGATCAGAGAATCAAACGCATCACTGTCCAGACCCTCCTGTATTGGCAATGGTTAGGGTTAGGGTTAAAAACAACAGAGAGAAACCTGGAGAAGGTCCCAGATGCAAGTCCACCTTAGGTAATGAGTTTCAGCCCTTGTTGTGAGCGTTGACCTGAAATTGGAGAGAGAAAGGTGGAAGAGAATGCAACACTGGGACTTACAGGAGGAGAAGCTACGCTACCAAATGCTGTTTTCTATTTGCTTGGACAAAATACCATTTATGTACCGACAAAGTTTGTCCTGAGCCTCTCCCAAAACGCAGTATTGGTTCAACGTTAAGTGTGTTTGCGCTGGCATCGCTGTGCTCGCTGCGCTCGCTGCCCCGGTGGTTGCTGTAGTAACGGCCTAGATTCCTGTATGTCGGAATAAGTGATGGTGTGATTCTGCAGAAGCCGACGTTCCCAGCTGTTCCCTGCAGAAGACCGAGAGAGAGGGGTCTGAAGATGGAGAGAGTGGGGTCTGAAGACGGAGAGAGTGGGGTCTGAAGACGGAGAGAGTGGGGTCTGAAGACGGAGAGAGTGGTGTCTGAGGACGGAGAGAGTGGGGTCTGAAGACGGAGAGAGTGGTGTCTGAAGACGGAGAGAGTGGGGTCTGAAGACGGAGAGAGTGGGGTCTGAAGACGGAGAGAGTGGTGTCTGAAGACGGAGAGAGTGGTGTCTGAAGACGGAGAGAGTGGGGTCTGAAGACGGAGTGAGTGGGGTCTGAAGACGGAGAGAGTGGGGTCTGAAGACGGAGAGAGTGGGGTCTGAAGACGGAGAGAGTGGGGGCTTAAAGACGGAGAGAGTGGGGTCTGAAGACGGAGAGAGTGGTGTCTGAAGACGGAGAGAGTGGGGTCTGAAGACGGAGAGAGTGGGGTCTGAAGACGGAGAGAGTGGGGTCTGAAGACGGAGAGAGTGGGGTCTGAAGACGGAGAGAGTGGGGTCTGAAGACGGAGAGAGTGGTGTCTGAAGACGGAGAGAGTGGGGTCTGAAGACGGAGAGAGTGGGGTCTGAAGACGGAGAGAGTGGTGTCTGAAGACGGAGAGAGTGGGGTCTGAAGACGGAGAGAGTGGGGTCTGAAGACGGAGAGAGTGGGGTCTGATGACGGAGAGAGTGGGGTCTGAAGACGGAGAGAGTGGGTCCTGAAGACGGAGAGAGTGGGGTCTGAAGACGGAGTGAGTGGTGTCTGAAGACGGAGTGAGTGGGGTCTGAAGACGGAGAGAGTGAGAGAGAGTGGGGTCTGTTGACGGAGAGAGTGGGGTCTGAAGACGGAGAGAGTGGGTCCTGAAGACGGAGAGAGTGGGGTCTGTTGACGGAGAGAGTGGGGTCTGAAGACGGAGAGAGTGGGGTCTGAAGACGGAGTGAGTGGGGTCTGAAGACGGAGAGAGTGGGGTCTGAAGACGGAGAGAGTGGGGTCTGAGGACGGAGAGAGTGGGGTCTGAAGACGGAGAGAGTGGGGTCTGAGGACGGAGAGAGTGGGGTCTGAAGACGGAGAGAGTGGGGTCTGAAGACGGAGAGAGTGGGGTCTGAAGACGGAGAGAGTGGTGTCTGAAGACGGAGAGAGTGGGGTCTGAAGACGGAGAGAGTGGGGTCTGAAGACGGAGAGAGTGGGGTCTGAAGACGGAGAGAGTGGTGTCTGAAGACGGAGAGAGTGGGGTCTGAAGACGGAGAGAGTGGGGTCTGTTGACGGAGAGAGTGGGGGCTTAAAGACGGAGAGAGTGGGGTCTGAAGACGGAGAGAGTGGGGTCTGAAGACGGAGAGAGTGGGGTCTGAAGACGGAGAGAGTGGGGTCTGAAGACGGAGAGAGTGGTGTCTGAAGACGGAGAGAGTGGGGTCTGAAGACGGAGAGAGTGGGGTCTGAGGACGGAGAGAGTGGGGTCTGAAGACGGAGAGAGTGGGTCCTGAAGACGGAGAGAGTGGGGTCTGAAGACGGAGAGAGTGGGGTCTGAAGACGGAGAGAGTGGTGTCTGAAGACGGAGAGAGTGGGGTCTGAGGACGGAGAGAGTGGGGTCTGAAGACGGAGAGAGTGGGGTCTGAAGACGGAGAGAGTGGGGTCTGAAGACGGAGAGAGTGGTGTCTGAAGACGGAGAGAGTGGGGTCTGAAGACGGAGAGAGTGGGGTCTGAAGACGGAGAGAGTGGGGTCTGAAGACGGAGAGAGTGGTGTCTGAAGACGGAGAGAGTGGGGTCTGAAGACGGAGAGAGTGGGGTCTGTTGACGGAGAGAGTGGGGGCTTAAAGACGGAGAGAGTGGGGTCTGAAGACGGAGAGAGTGGGGTCTGAAGACGGAGAGAGTGGGGTCTGAAGACGGAGAGAGTGGGGTCTGAAGACGGAGAGAGTGGTGTCTGAAGACGGAGAGAGTGGGGTCTGAGGACGGAGAGAGTGGGGTCTGAAGACGGAGAGAGTGGGGTCTGAAGACGGAGAGAGTGGGGTCTGTTGACGGAGAGAGTGGGGGCTTAAAGACGGAGAGAGTGGGGTCTGAAGACGGAGAGAGTGGGGTCTGAAGACGGAGAGAGTGGTGTCTGAAGACGGAGAGAGTGGGGTCTGAAGACGGAGAGAGTGGGACCTGAAGACGGAGAGTGGGGTCTGAAGACGGAGAGAGTGGGGTCTGAAGACGGAGAGAGTGGGGTCTGAAGACGGAAAGAGTGGGACCTGAAGACGGAGAGAGTGGGGTCTGAAGACGGAGAGAGTGGGACCTAAGGACTTTACAAAACCGTGGAATTTGCCAAAACAGATCAGAGAATCAAACTGTCCAAACTCAGGAAATGCAATGATATAAAACCAAGCCCTGGTGATCCAAGATAACAATAGTAAAAATCAGCAGCAGCCCTTTAGGTCACAGCAGCAGAGGTGGCGTAGCCTCTGGGTGGAGCAGGACGGGTCACAGCAGCAGAGGTGGAGTAGCCTCTGGGTGGAGCAGGACGGGTCACAGCAGCAGAGGTGGAGTAGCCTCTGGGTGGAGCAGGACGGGTCACAGCAGCAGAGGTGGAGTAGCCTCTGGGTGGAGCAGGACGGGTCACAGCAGCAGAGGTGGAGTAGCCTCTGGGTGGAGCAGGACGGGTCACAGCAGCAGAGGTGGAGTAGCCTCTGGGTGGAGCAGGACGGGTCACAGCAGCAGAGGTGGAGTAGCCTCTGGGTGGAGCAGGACGGGTCACAGCAGCAGAGGTGGAGTAGCCTCTGGGTGGAGCAGGACGGGTCACAGCAGCAGAGGTGGAGTAGCCTCTGGGTGGAGCAGGACGGGTCACAGCAGCAGAGGTGGAGTAGCTTCTGGGTGGAGCAGGACAGGTCACAGCAGCAGAGGTGGAGTAGCCTCTGGGTGGAGCAGGACGGGTCACAGCAGCAGAGGTGGAGTAGCCTCTGGGTGGAGCAGGACGGGTCACAGCAGCAGAGGTGGAGTAGCCTCTGGGTGGAGCAGGACGGGTCACAGCAGCAGAGGTGGAGTAGCCTCTGGGTGGAGCAGGACGGGTCACAGCAGCAGAGGTGGAGTAGCCTCTGGGTGGAGCAGGACGGGTCACAGCAGCAGAGGTGGAGTAGCCTCTGGGTGGAGCAGGACGGGTCACAGCAGCAGAGGTGGAGTAGCCTCTGGGTGGAGCAGGACGGGTCACAGCAGCAGAGGTGGAGTAGCTTCTGGGTGGAGCAGGACAGGTCTAAAGTTGGAGTACCCGCTTGGTTCGGACAATTTTCTCCGCTCTAATCCAAAGTAAAATGCTTTTTGCAAAAAGTCATCATTCCTCCAGTGGATTTTTGGCTGATACACTTGGTTCGGACCATGAATCCTCTCTGCTCTGGTCTGGACCAGTGTAAAACCATGAATCCTCTCTGCTCTGGTCTGGACCAGTGTAAAACCATGAATCCACTCTGCTCTGGTCTGGACCAGTGTAAAACCATGAATCCTCTCTGCTCTGGTCTGGACCAGTGTAAAACCATGAATCCTCTCTGCTCTGGTCTGGACCAGTGTAAAACCATGAATCCTCTCTGCTCTGGTCTGGACCAGTGTAAAACCATGAATCCTCTCTGCTCTGGTCTGGACCAGTGTAAAACCATGAATCCTCTCTGCTCTGGTCTGGACCAGTGTAAAACCATGAATCCTCTCTGCTCTGGTCTGGACCAGTGTAAAACCATGAATCCTCTCTGCTCTGGTTTGGACCAGTGTGAAACCATGAATCCTCTCTGCTCTGGTCTGGACCAGTGTAAAACCATGAATCCTCTCTGCTCTGGTCTGGACCAGTGTAAAACCATGAATCCTCTCTGCTCTGGTCTGGACCAGTGTAAAACCATGAATCCTCTCTGCTCTGGTCTGGACCAGTGTAAAACCATGAATCCTCTCGGCTCTGGTCTGGACCAGTGTAAAACCATGAATCCTCTCTGCTCTGGTCTGGACCAGTGTAAAACCATGAATCCTCTCTGCTCTGGTTTGGACCAGTGTAAAACCATGAATCCTCTCTGCTCTGGTCTGGACCAGTGTAAAACCATGAATCCTCTCTGCTCTGGCTTGGACCAGTGTAAAACCATGAATCCTCTCTGCTCTGGTCTGGACCAGTGTAAAACCATGAATCCTCTGTGCTCTGGTCTGGACCAGTGTAAAACCATGAATCCTCTCTGCTCTGGTCTGGACCAGTGTAAAACCATGAATCCTCTCTGCTCTGGTCTGGACCAGTGTAAAACCATGAATCCTCTCTGCTCTGGTCTGGACCAGTGTAAAACCATGAATCCTCTCTGCTCTGGTCTGGACCAGTGTAAAACCATGAATCCTCTCTGCTCTGGTCTGGACCAGTGTAAAACCATGAATCCTCTCTGCTCTGGTCTGGACCAGTGTAAAACCATGAATCCTCTCTGCTCTGGTTTGGACCAGTGTGAAACCATGAATCCTCTCTGCTCTGGTCTGGACCAGTGTAAAACCATGAATCCTCTCTGCTCTGGTCTGGACCAGTGTAAAACCATGAATCCTCTCTGCTCTGGTCTGGACCAGTGTAAAACCATGAATCCTCTCTGCTCTGGTCTGGACCAGTGTAAAACCATGAATCCTCTCGGCTCTGGTCTGGACCAGTGTAAAACCATGAATCCTCTCTGCTCTGGTCTGGACCAGTGTAAAACCATGAATCCTCTCTGCTCTGGTTTGGACCAGTGTAAAACCATGAATCCTCTCTGCTCTGGCCTGGACCAGTGTAAAACCATGAATCCTCTCTGCTCTGGTCTGGACCAGTGTAAAACCATGAATCCTCTCTGCTCTGGTCTGGACCAGTGTAAAACCATGAATCCTCTCTGCTCTGGTCTGGACCAGTGTAAAACCATGAATCCTCTCTGCTCTGGTCTGGACCAGTGTAAAACCATGAATCCTCTCTGCTCTGGTCTGGACCAGTGTAAAACCATGAATCCTCTCGGCTCTGGTCTGGACCAGTGTAAAACCATGAATCCTCTCTGCTCTGGTCTGGACCAGTGTAAAACCATGAATCCTCTCTGCTCTGGTTTGGACCAGTGTAAAACCATGAATCCTCTCTGCTCTGGTCTGGACCAGTGTAAAACCATGAATCCTCTCTGCTCTGGCTTGGACCAGTGTAAAACCATGAATCCTCTCTGCTCTGGTCTGGACCAGTGTAAAACCATGAATCCTCTCTGCTCTGGTCTCAGTAGGGGATAGGACATACACGTGGACCAAGAGATAAGGGAAACTCGCCCATATTTCGAAGTCGTCTGGTCCTCCCGGTTCTGCGAAGTGGACGAGCTCCCATGATGCTTTGCGCCAAATACTGTACGTGTGTGGCTCTCATGCATGTCCAGCGTTCTGACCATCAGAGCGGGAGGAAAACCAGCAGTTTGTGACATTAAAGTGTGGATTTACAGAAAACCTAAAGATTTAAGAAGAAACCAACAACAAGAGACACTATAATACTTCAGAATCCTCCTTTATGAAAGCTGTAGGTTCTCTGTCAGGTTCTCTGTCAGGTTCTCGGTCAGGTTCTCTGTCAGGTTCTCTGTCAGGTTCTCTGTCAGGTTCTCTGTCAGGTTCTCTGTCAGGTTCTCGGTCAGGTTCTCTGTCAGGTTCTCTGTCAGGTTCTCGGTCAGGTTCTCGGTCAGGTTCTCGGTCAGGTTCTCTGTCAGGTTCTCTGTCGGGTTCTCTGTCAGGTTCTCTGTCAGGTTCTCGGTCAGGTTCTCTGTCAGGTTCTCGGTCAGGTTCTCGGTCAGGTTCTCTGTCAGGTTCTCTGTCAGGTTCTCGGTCAGATCCTCGGTCAGGTTCTCGGTCAGGTTCTCTGTCAGGTTCTCTGTCAGGTTCTCTGTCAGGTTCTCGGTCAGGTTCTCGGTCAGGTTCTCTTTCAGGTTCTCTGTCAGGTTCTCTGTCAGGTTCTCTGTAGGTTCTCTGTCAGGTTCTCTGTCAGGTTCTCTGTCAGGTTCTCTGTCAGGTTCTCTGTCAGGTTCTCGGTCAGGTTCTCGGTCAGGTTCTCTGTCAGGTTCTCTGTCAGGTTCTCTGTCAGGTTCTCTGTCAGGTTCTCTGTCAGGTTCTCGGTCAGGTTCTCGGTCAGGTTCTCTGTCAGGTTCTCTGTCAGGTTCTCTGTCAGGTTCTCTGTAGGTTCTCTGTCAGGTTCTCTGTCAGGTTCTCGGTCAGGTTCTCTGTCAGGTTCTCTGTCAGGTTCTCTGTCAGCTGAGGTCGAGCTGTTTTAGTTTACATTGAGTTCTATGGGGAAAATTTCTGGGTAGCCCACGTGAATTTAGTCTGGTTTAGTCTGCAGTACCGCGAGAATCCCCCGAGCACATGGTCCTTCAGCTCCAGGCTATAATATCCAGTTATTATACTAGATCCATGTAGAAAACACGTAGAGCCATTGGTCCATAAAGAGCAAAGGCCAAAGTCCATAAATTTGGATGAATGTGGCGTGTCCAGGATCATCTCTGTCCTTAGATCCTCCTGAATCAGAGACGTGCAACTCTAAAAGTCTTGTGCTCTCAGGTTTTTACAGTGTGCTTGGATCAGTTCTGTTTCTTCGAGACCAGAGGCGAGAATAACACAGGTCACAAATGAGACTCCACGTCTGAGTTTCATGATTTTGTGATAATATGTTTCAAAATGTTATTAAGACAAGAAAGGACTGTTAGATTTTGAGAGAACAAGCTGTTTCTCTTTTAATCCTGTTATCATGAAAATATAATAATATAATCATGAAGTAGTGTTGCTGTATCAGTGAGAGGCCCAAACTAGATGGATTTGGAAAGAAAATGACATTTAAGTAAGGGATAACGTATATGACGCAGGTCATTATCGGAAAGTGGTAATGACAGGGCGAAGAAACATCCACGAGTAGTCTGCTTCGCCCTGTCGGTACTTATTTTCCAATAATGACCTGCGTAATATACGTTATCCCGCTTATTATACGGCTTTATACCGACAGAACACACAACATAAACTTCAGTCCACTATTAGGAATTCCAAAAGGTTTATTTAATGACAAAAAATAAAATAGTTCCCAAAGGCTTTCCCGTGGCTATGCTAGCAACACATAGGCTAACAACTTCCAAACTAGAACTCTCTGGAACTGCATGAAAACTGAACACAGAATCCTGAACATCAGCGGTGAGTGACCCAAACATAAACTTAACCTAAATCCATTTCATCCTGGAGAGACCCACACAGGGAATGCAATTAGAAGTTTATTTGATTAAGCATGCGATGATGTTGAGCGCGGCGCTTGCTCTGGCACTGGTGGCGGCCGAGGCAGCAGGCAACCACGTTCGAAATGGGAGAAGGAGGAGGTGGGGCGGCGGAGGATGCAAAGCTTGAGAAGGCCGGGAAGTGGGCGCCTCCGGCTTTTAACTTGCTGGCCTGGCGGTTATTGGTTGACTGGAAGTGGGTGTTGCTGTGCCATGAGCCGAGGGTGAGAGCAGGCCTGGAGGAGCTGGGCCGCAGCCGGGTCTACCAGGGTGAACTTACACAAAGCTTCATAACTCCATCCTCTGCAAATGTTCCTAAAATGTGCCGGTATCTACTTCCGGGTTTTTCGGGATCGCCTTTTCTCGCATTACATCAGTGTTTTTGTCATGAAAACGTAAAATTCTGAAAACTTCCGTGCACTTGTATTAATAATGTATATGTATAATGTACTCTCTGATTATCATTTAAGTGTTTTGATTGATTGGTATTTGTGTTGATTGAGCGTGGCTAGCTCCGGAGTGGCCGGAACTACTTGCGGAGTTATCCACGCATCTGAAAGACAAGCAGAGAGTGCGTTGCCAAAGGGCAGCGGTCATTATTGTTTTGAGAGGTCCGTTATAGAAAATAATGACCGGTAGAACGTTTTGAAATGACATTCAAATCAATGGAGCGTTCTCCTGCTGCTGTGAGGAGCGTGTGATAACAGATAAGATAAGATAAGATAAACCTTTATTAGTCTCACAGTGGAGAAATGTCAGTGTCATCGTTGCACATTACAGCAGAGAAAGGAAGAGCACTCAGATTGCACACATCAAAGTCTATTATTTAAGATAATAGACAATAAATTTAAGATAAAATAAAATAAAATAAAATAAGAAAATCTGGGCTACAATTGCACTTGGTTCGGAGTATTTACAGATGTCTATATTATACATTAGCAGCGGAGAATATGAGAATATGAGCAGAATAAACATCAGAAATAATATCAACAGGTAAAGTGACTTGAATGGGAGAATTATCAGATGGATATGAATAATACAGTAAGATATCAACAGGTAAAGTGACGGTGGAAGGCAGAATTATCAGATATGTAGTACTGTAGTAGTACTGATAACAGTAAATATCAGATATGTAGTACTGTAGTAGTACTGATAACAGCTAAAGTGACTAGTGACAAAGTTACTAGTGAATTATCAGAAACACTTGTGCAGACTCAGCAGTTCCTGTTACACATTCTCGTTGTACAGTCTGACAGCAGCAGGAAGGAAAGACCTGCGAAACAGTTATAAAGTATATACAGACATTAACAAGAGGGAGATTGGAGTTGGTCTGGATTGGAGAGAGTGAAAACTAAGGCTGTCGAACTGTGGGGGCGGGTCCCGGCCAACCGTTCACACACACACCAGACTCATTCTAATGTGGGGGAAGTGTCTTGCCTAAGGACACAACCACAGTTTGGCACTTTACAGCCGCAGCCGCCCCACTGTGGCACCTGCTGTTCCCAGAGGTCTCCCATCACTGCACTTACCAGACCGTGCCCTGCTTAGCTGTGGCCTTGGTTTAAAAAGGGGTTGGATGAAGCAAAATAAACCACAAAGAAGCCTCCTGTTGTGTACTCGTGGATGTTGTGTACTCATGGATGTTGTGTACTTGTGGATGTTGTGTACTCGTGGATGTTGTGTACTTGTGGATGTTGTGTACTCGTGGAAGTTGTGTACTCGTGGATGTTGTGTACTTGTGGATGTTGTGTACTCGTGGAAGTTGTGTACTCGTGGATGTTGTGTACTCGTGGATGTTGTGTACTCGTGGATGTTGTGTACTCGTGGAAGTTGTGTACTCGTGGATGTTGTGTACTTGTGGATGTTGTGTACTCGTGGATGTTGTGTACTTGTGGATGTTGTGTACTCGTGGAAGTTGTGTACTCGTGGATGTTGTGTACTCGTGGATGTTGTGTACTCGTGGATGTTGTGTACTCGTGGATGTTGTGTACTTGTGGATGTTGTGTACTCGTGGATGTTGTGTACTTGTGGATGTTGTGTACTCGTGGATGTTGTGTACTTGTTGATGTTGTGTACTCGTGGATGTTGTGTACTTGTGGATGTTGTGTACTTGTGGATGTTGTGTACTTGTGGATGTTGTGTGCTCGTGGATGTTGTGTACTCGTGGATGTTGTGTACTCGTGGATGTTGTGTACTCGTGGATGTTGTGTACTCGTGGATGTTGTGTACTCGTGGATGTTGTGTACTCGTGGATGTTGTGTACTTGTGGATGTTGTGTACTTGTGGATGTTGTGTACTCGTGGATGTTGTGTACTTGTGGAAGTTGTGTACTCGTGGATGTTGTGTACTCGTGGATGTTGTGTACTCGTGGATGTTGTGTACTCGTGGATGTTGTGTACTCGTGGATGTTGTGTACTCGTGGATGTTGTGTACTCGTGGATGTTGTGTACTCGTGGATGTTGTGTACTCGTGGATGTTGTGTACTCGTGGATGTTGTGTACTTGTGGATGTTGTGTACTTGTGGATGTTGTGTACTTGTGGATGTTGTGTACTTGTGGATGTTGTGTACTCGTGGATGTTGTGTACTCGTGGATGTTGTGTACTCGTGGATGTTGTGTACTCGTGGATGTTGTGTACTTGTGGATGTTGTGTACTCGCTGATGTTGTGTACTCGTGGATGTTGTGTACTCGTGGATGTTGTGTACTTGTGGATGTTGTGTACTCGTGGAAGTTGTGTACTCGTGGATGTTGTGTACTCGTGGATGTTGTGTACTCGTGGATGTTGTGTACTCGTGGATGTTGTGTACTCGTGGATGTTGTGTACTCGTGGATGTTGTGTACTCGTGGATGTTGTGTACTTGTGGATGTTGTGTACTCGTGGATGTTGTGTACTTGTGGATGTTGTGTACTCGTGGATGTTGTGTACTCGTGGATGTTGTGTACTTGTGGATGTTGTGTACTCGTGGATGTTGTGTACTCGTGGATGTTGTGTACTCATGGATGTTGTGTACTTGTGGATGTTGTGTACTCGTGGATGTTGTGTACTTGTGGATGTTGTGTACTCGTGGATGTTGTGTACTCGTGGATGTTGTGTACTTGTGGATGTTGTGTACTCGCTGATGTTGTGTACTCGTGGATGTTGTGTACTCGTGGATGTTGTGTACTTGTGGATGTTGTGTACTCGTGGAAGTTGTGTACTCGTGGATGTTGTGTACTCGTGGATGTTGTGTACTTGTGGATGTTGTGTACTCGTGGATGTTGTGTACTCGTGGATGTTGTGTACTCGTGGATGTTGTGTACTTGTGGATGTTGTGTACTCGTGGATGTTGTGTACTTGTGGATGTTGTGTACTCGTGGATGTTGTGTACTTGTGAAAGTTGTGTACTCGTGGATGTTGTGTACTCGTGGATGTTGTGTACTCGTGGATGTTGTGTACTTGTGGATGTTGTGTACTTGTGGATGTTGTGTACTCGTGGATGTTGTGTACTTGTGGATATTGTGTACTCGTGGATGTTGTGTACTCGTGGATGTTGTGTACTCGTGGATGTTGTGTACTTGTGGATGTTGTGTACTCGTGGATGTTGTGTACTTGTGGATGTTGTGTACTCGTGGATGTTGTGTACTTGTGGATGTTGTGTACTCGTGGATGTTGTGTACTTGTGGATGTTGTGTACTCGTGGATGTTGTGTACTCGTGGATGTTGTGTACTCGTGGATGTTGTGTACTTGTGGATGTTGTGTACTTGTGGATGTTGTGTACTCGTGGATGTTGTGTACTTGTGAAAGTTGTGTACTTGTGGATGTTGTGTACTCGTGGATGTTGTGTACTTGTGGATGTTGTGTACTCGTGGATGTTGTGTACTTGTGGATGTTGTGTACTCGTGGATGTTGTGTACTCGTGGATGTTGTGTACTCGTGGATGTTGTGTACTTGTGGATGTTGTGTACTTGTGGATGTTGTGTACTTGTGGATGTTGTGTACTTGTGGATGTTGTGTGCTCGTGGAAGTTGTGTACTCGTGGATGTTGTGTACTTGTGGATGTTGTGTACTTGTGGAACTTGTGTACTCGTGGATGTTGTGTACTCGTAGATGTTGTGTACTTGTGGATGTTGTGTACTTGTGGATGTTGTGTACTTGTGGATGTTGTGTGCTCGTGGATGTTGTGTACTCGTGGATGTTGTGTACTCGTGGATGTTGTGTACTCGTGGATGTTGTGTACTCGTGGATGTTGTGTACTCGTGGATGTTGTGTACTCGTGGATGTTGTGTACTCGTGGATGTTGTGTACTTGTGGATGTTGTGTACTCGTGGATGTTGTGTACTCGTGGATGTTGTGTACTTGTGGAAGTTGTGTATTTGTTTGTGTTGCTGCAGTTTCAGACTGAAGCGAGACGCAACAACTTAATTAAAAGTTTGTAGAGAGAGTGGAGCTGATTGTAAACGACTGGAGGCGATGCCGTGTGTGCCTCTCCAGCTGTTCAGGCGCTTAATTACAAAATATATACATGTGCTACCAACCAAATAGTTACTGAGAGCTATTAATACTCTGTCAGTGCTGGAGTGGTTAGCCTTTTGTCTAGGGCGTGTCTAGGGCGTGTCTAGGGCGTATCTAGGGCGTGTCTAGGGCGTGTCTAGGGCGTGTCTAGGACGTGTCTATGGCGTGTCTAGGGCGTATCTAGGACGTGTCTAGGGCGTGTCTAGGGCGTGTCTATGGCGTGTCTAGGGCGTGTCTAGGGCGTATCTAGGACGTGTCTAGGACGTGTCTAGGGCGTATCTAGGACGTGTCTATGGCGTGTCTAGGGCGTATCTAGGACGTGTCTAGGGCGTGTCTAGGACGTGTCTATGGCGTGTCTAGGGCGTGTCTAGGGCGTATCTAGGACGTGTCTAGGACGTGTCTATGGCGTGTCTAGGACGTGTCTAGGGCGTATCTAGGGCGTGTCTAGGGCGTATCTAGGACGTGTCTAGGACGTGTCTAGGGCGTGTCTAGGACGTGTCTATGGGGTGTCTAGGGCCTATCTAGGGCGTGTCTAGGGCGTATCTAGGGCGTTTCTAGGGCGTATCTAGGACGTGTCTATGGCGTGTCTAGGGCGTATCTAGGACGTGTCTAGGGCGTGTCTAGGACGTGTCTAGGGCGTGTCTAGGACGTGTCTATGGCGTGTCTAGGGCGTATCTAGGACGTGTCTAGGGCGTGTCTAGGGCGTGTCTATGGCGTGTCTAGGGCGTGTCTAGGGCGTATCTAGGGCGTGTCTAGGGCGTATCTAGGACGTGTCTAGGGCGTGTCTAGGACGTGTCTATGGCGTGTCTAGGGCGTATCTAGGACGTGTCTAGGGCGTGTCTAGGGCGTGTCTATGGCGTGTCTAGGGCGTGTCTAGGGCGTATCTAGGACGTGTCTAGGACGTGTCTAGGGCGTATCTAGGACGTGTCTATGGCGTGTCTAGGGCGTATCTAGGACGTGTCTAGGGCGTGTCTAGGACGTGTCTATGGCGTGTCTAGGGCGTGTCTAGGGCGTATCTAGGACGTGTCTAGGACGTGTCTATGGCGTGTCTAGGACGTGTCTAGGGCGTATCTAGGGCGTGTCTAGGGCGTATCTAGGACGTGTCTAGGACGTGTCTAGGGCGTGTCTAGGACGTGTCTATGGGGTGTCTAGGGCCTATCTAGGGCGTGTCTAGGGCGTATCTAGGGCGTTTCTAGGGCGTATCTAGGACGTGTCTAGGACGTGTCTAGGGCGTGTCTAGGACGTGTCTATGGCGTGTCTAGGGCGTGTCTAGGGCGTATCTAGGGCGTGTCTAGGGCGTATCTAGGACGTGTCTAGGACGTGTCTAGGGCGTGTCTAGGGCGTGTCTAGGGCGTGTCTAGGGCGCATCTAGGGCGTGTCTAGGGCGTGTCTAGGGCGTATCTAGGACGTGTCTAGGGCGTGTCTAGGGCGTGTCTAGGGCGTGTCTAGGGTTGTGCAATGTCAGAAAAAAAAAATACTATTTGTGAGTAATATCTTTGGGCCTCATTCTTTCTCAATTTTTCCCACTGTTTTTTTGAGTTTTTTTCTCTCGATTCACAAAAAGCCTCCTCTGTGTCCAAACTCAGGCCCGGGGGCCAATTGCGGCCATCAGTGTCATTTTATGTGGCCCTCTGCCTCGCTAACCCAAAGTAGTTCAGCTTCAAAGTCCAACGTCAGCTCGGCCAATACAGACATGTCGCAGCTCGTTTAATGATTTTTGTCACAAACTTGATCATCTTGGTGAGAAGGTAAACATGTGTCATTCAGCCAACTTCAGCTCTGTTTTAGATAATCATAAAGTTTATTACATGAAGCCTCTGTCCGGACCACAAGCTCAGGGTGGTTTTGGAAATGGGAGAACGTTTTGAAACCACATATTTACAGTCTACTGCATATGTCACTTCCTTTAACCAATTACCAATCACAATAAAATATTTAAGTAATATATATTCATACAGTGCGTTTTTCCAGACCAGGATCAAGCAAACTTTATAACGTTCAGAGCATGCTTTTACTCTCACTCCACACCAACATCATTCACTCACTACATTCAGAACTATTGTACATGTTTTTAGAGGTAGGGCAAACCGGAGCATCCAGAGGAAACCTAAGCAGACACGGGGAGAACATGCAAACTCCACACAGAAAGGCTCGGAGGTGGAATCGAACCCCTGACTTAAAACACAAGCTCTCACCGGCCGTGTTTAAAGCCGTGTTTACATCCCAGCAGAGAAACACGTTAGAGACCAGGCAAAGCTGAGAACGTGTTAATTGAAATAATGAAAATCAGAAGCTCAGAACAGTCAAGACAGTTTTTCCGTCCGTGACATCAGCCCCTGGTCAACTAAAGCGGCCCTCTTACTCAAAGGTTTGGACACCCCTGCACTAGGCGGCATAGTCGACTTCATCAGGGACTGTTTATAACAAGCAGCTGTCAAAATATATTCTAACCTTTAACTTTTCACTGTTTTACCATTTCCCAGTCTGATGTGTCCGAGTGATCTGTCAGTCAGTAAAAAAATATAAATATTTTATGAAAATCCCAGATTGCCGCCACAATATGAAGTCATAATATGCAAATGAGGTGGGTACATTTAGTTCCTACATAAACTTTGAGCCATCCTTATACTTTCTCTAATTTACATTTAGTCTCTTTCTCTGATCATTTTGAAGTTATTAAAGAATTAAGATCAAAATTTAACCTTTTAGGAAAAAACTTCTGGCGCCTAAAGTGTTAATGATTATAATTTGACACTGTATATATTTGTATACTATATATTGGTGTTTACTTGCTGCTCTTATGAATTATTTACAGTTAAGAAGCATTAAGATGAAGAGATCCTCTGGTCGGGAAATGTCAGTGTTGCATCGCTACAGAGCAGTAGAATGAGGAGCACACAGCACAAGATTCATGAACAATAAATATAATCTCCAACTTTAGCAGAAACAAGAAACAAGTATAAAATTATTTTCAATTTTCTGATCCGTCGTTGAGGAAGTGACCGCTTTGTAAAGTCCTCTGATCGTTGCGATTTAGGGCGAAACAAAAATGAAATATTTTATCTTACGTCGCAAAAACTTCCATCCATGCATTGCTCAAGGAGACAATGACAGTAGACATCATGGGAGTCGGTGAAGGTCTTGTGGTAGGCTCGAACCCATGACCTACAGGCTCAAAGGTCAATGCTCTACAACTGAGCCACATTTTAAACTTTATCTGAACAACAATCAAAACTCAAATAAAAAAAAAAAAGCATTTTAAAATCCTTGTGGCGCCGCAGCTGGGTTTGAGTTCCACGATTCAATTCAAATTAACATTATTTATAGAACTCTTTAAAAACAAGACTAAAAACACAATATTTAGACAACATTGAATACATGGACAGTACAGGGGGCGACAGTAGCTCAGTTGTGGGTTCGAGTCCACCACAATCCATGTCACCTGCTCCCACTGATGACTGCTGTGTTGTTGTGTCCCGGGGCAACACACTGAACCCCACATCGCCCGAAGCCCCCGCTGAAAGACCAGGGCCATCTCGTCGATTACGGAAAAGCCATCTTCCCGGGGACCCACCACCTGCAGAGGATCAGCGAGGGACTGGTGCCATGAGACTGGTGCCATGAGACTGGTGCCCCCCCCCCCCCCCCCCCCCCCCCCCCCCCCCCCCCCCCCCCCGCCCGACCCAGAAATGAAATAATAAAGGGGTAGAAAATGACATTGCATGAACACAGCAAGAATACATTGCATTGAAAAAGTTAAGTTTCTCTTCGTCCCCTTTCACCTCCTCCTCTTCAACACAATCTACTGCTTTCTTTCTTCACCTCTTCATGGTCAAGAACAGGACAAAGTCGGCGTTATTTTTACATCATGAAACAGAAGAACGTCTGTGAATGAAATGACTCACAACCCAGCGCCGTGTGTGTGTCTCTGGGACTGGATCTTTTCAGTCACGCTGCATCTCCTCGCTCTGAAACCACGACCAGCCACCGCGGATCCTCGCGGGAAAGCCCGGCTGTTGCCATGACGACGGCTCCTGGAGTTTTATTTATTTATCTCCTTTCTTCCTCTCCCTCTGAAGGACGTTCCTCTCTTTATCGGCGCGCCCTTCATTCTTCCGCCGCGAGAGACAATCTAAGGTGTGACAGGTAGATAACGGCCGGGGCTGACAGGACCAGGGAGCCCGGGGGACGCCGAGGCTCATGGGAAAACACCGCAGGGAGAAGGAAAAGAAAAAGCTTTAGCCTGAAAAGCCGCGGCTCTTGAGACTGTTTCATTATTAATTTGTGTGAAATGTTCCTGCAAAAAGTAAATTACAGAAGGCGGAAAAAGAACAAGTCGTTTCTTTTGTTTGGGAAAAGGCAGGAGGAGGTTTGTGTGTCCGCTGGGAGCCTGACGCAGGGCTTTGCAGCAGGAGAGAGAGTGTGTGTGTGAGAGTGTGTGTGTGGGTGTGTGTGTGTGAGAGAGTGTGCGTGTGTGTGTGTGTGTGTGTGGGTGAGAGAGTGTGCGTGTGTGTGTGTGTGTATGGGTGAGAGAGTGTGCGTGTGTGTGTCTGTGTGTGTACGTGAGAGAGAGAGAGAGTGTGAGAGATAGTGTGTGTGTGTGTGTTTGTGTGTACGTGAGAGAGAGAGAGAGAGAGTGTGAGAGATAGTGTGTGTGTGTGTTTGTGTGTGTGTTTGTGTGTGTGAGAGAGTCTGTGTGTCTTTGTGTGTGTGAGAGAGTGTGTGTGTGTGAGAGAGTGTGTGTGTGTTTGTGTGTGTGAGAGAGTGTGTGTGTGTGTGTGCGTGCCGCTTTTAAATGGGAAAAGCCCGGTTAGTGCTGTGATGGGAGACCGACAGGAAACCGTGTCCTTAGGCAAGACACTTCACCCAGTATGTGTGTTGTGTTCTGTTTGTGTTGTGTGTGTGTGTGTCTCTGTGTGTGTGTGTGTGTTGTGTTGTGTTGTGTTGTGTGTGTGTTGTGTTGTGTGTGTGTGATTAGTCGAAGTCAGACCCATTACAAGGAGCTGCAGCTCTATCATGTCTTTAACATTTTTTACAGTATTTTCCACATTATTAATACATTTGTTTAGTCAAATGGATCTGTAAAGTTTATTACATGAAGCCTCTGTCCGGACCACGAGCTCAGGGTGGTTTTGGAAATGGGAGAACGTTTTGAAACCACATATTTACAGTCTACTGCATATGTCACTTCCTTTAACCAATTACCAATCACAATAAAATACTTAAGTAATATAGATTCATACAGTGCGTTTTTACAGACCAGGATCAAGCAAACTTTACAACGTTCAGAGCATGTTTGTGGAGATTGGAAACTGTGTCTCAGATCATGTGGCCCTGACCTGTGGAGTACCACAGGGGTCGATCCTGGGACCTCTCCTATTTAATCTCTACATGCTGCCGTTAGGTCAGTTAATACGCAGAAACAAAGTGTCCTACCACAATTACGCCGACGACACTCAGATCTATGTCTCACTGACTGCAGGAGAACATGGACCACTGGATTTGCTCCTCCACTGTATCCAACAGATCAGTGGGTGGATGCAAAATAATTTCCTCCAGCTAAATGCAGACAAAACCGAAATCATTGTCTTTGGTCCCCAGAAACAAAAAGAGGGCGTCATCTGTCAACTTCAGGCCCTGTTTATACTGAGACGTTGCGCAGACGTTTCCAGGCTATTAACAGAAACGACCCGGTTCCTAATGCAAATTTCTCAGTGTTCACATGAGGTTGAAAAACGATGTAGTTCTAGCGCCCGGCCAGTAGGGGGCAGAGAAACTTTACAACACTCACACGGCCCCCAGCCCCGTGCCCAGCCCCCCCCTCGGCAGTATATTCACTTCCTGTGCCAGACCCTCAGAACGCACCAACATCATTCTGCATTTTAACAGCAGCTGTGAAAATGGAAACTGAACCTAGAGCTTCGCGTGGTCTCGTTTGGACGAACGAAGAAGTAGAATTATCCTCTGTGCCGCGCTGGAAGCCCACGAAGCTAGTTAGTGTGCGCGGCGCCATTTTTGTTTTCGTTTGTTCTCCGCTACTGCGCATGTCCAAATTTACGTGCTGGGAGCAGCAGGAGGCGGGGGTCAGAGCAGTGGGGGATTTCACACCTTTTCCCTCTCGCGGGTGTGAAAGAGAGCCCCTGCTGTGCAGCGTTTCTGAGTTGTCCCACTCTGCAGGCTGGATCTGAACACTTACGTTTTCACCCCCCTGGAACACAGTCTTCGTATGAACGCTTGGTAGCAACCGACATCCAACTATACCGTTTTACTGCCACATTGTCTCCGTGTAAACTCAGCCTCAGTCTCTCTCCCTACTTCCTTCAGACAAGGTCAGAAATTTGGGGGTAATACTGGACTCAGACCTAAATTTCAATAGCCACATAAAATCAATAACATCAACAGCTTTTTACCATCTGAAGAACATTGCCAAAGTTAGAAATATAGTGTCCAGGGCAGACTTGGAGATTCTTGTCCATGCATTTGTCTCCAGCAGGCTAGACTACTGCAATGGCCTGCTTACAGGTCTGTCCAAACAGACCTGTAAGCAGCTGCAGTACATCCAAAATGCAGCAGCTAGAGTCCTGACAGGAACCAGGAAGTATGACCATATTAGTCCGGTCCTCAGGTCTCTGCACTGGCTTCCTGTGGCTCAAAGAATAGATTTTAAAACAGCTCTGCTTGTGTACAAGTCTCTCCATGGCCTTGCACCAGAATACATTAGTGACATGTTGGTGTCATATGAACCAGCCCGGACTCTGAGGAGCACAGGGACTGGCCTCCTGCTGGTGCCCAGAGTGAGAACCAAACATGGGGAGGCTGCGTTTCAGATCCATGCAGCTAAGATCTGGAACAATCTCCCTGAAAATGTGAGGGAGGCGTCTACTCTGTCAATGTTCAAATCCAGGTTAAAGACTGTTCTGTTTGCCTGTGCATACAACTGAAGGATTTTATCTCCATTTTTAATGCACTGCTGTCATTTATTTATTTTTTTAAATTTCTTGTGTAATTTTGAAAGTTTTAATGGTTTTATTCTTTTGTGTGATTTTAATGTTTTAATTGTGTTTTAATCTTTTGTGTGATTTTAATGTTTTAATTGTGATTCTGGTGTTTGTTTTATGTGATGATTTGTGATGTGGACTGTGAAGCGCTTTGTGTTGCCCTGTGTATGAAAGGCGCTCTACAAATAAACTTTGATTGATTGATTGATTGATGTTTTTACTCTCACTCCACACCAACATCATTCACTCACTACATTCAGAACTATTGTAAATGTTTTTAGTGGTAGGGCAAACCGGAGCATCCAGAGGAAACCTAAGCAGACACGGGGAGAACATGCAAACTCCACACAGAAAGGCTCGGAGGTGGAATCGAACCCCTGACTTAAAACACAAGCTCTCACCACTGCGTCGGCCGTGTTTAAAGCCGTGTTTACATCCCAGCAGAGAAACACTTTAGAGACCAGGCAAAGCTGAGAACGTGTTAATTGAAATAATGAAAATGAAAAAGGCCGTATATAAACGCATTTATTATTCATGAAATCCACTCGCGGCGGTTAGTTTCTGCTTGTACCACAATCAATCCTGAACACACAAACTTCAGGACCCATTAGAAATACTCTGGTGCGTGTGTGAATGGTTGGTGGTGGTGGGAGGGGCCAATGGCACAGACTGGCTGCCTTGCCTCCGTCCTCCCAGGGCAGCTGTGGCTACAGTAGTTTATCTCTGAGTCTGGTTGGGTCCCACCATTCTCCCTGCTCGGGTTCAGAGTGAAATTCTGAATGCGTATTAGCATTTTTCAAACAAATTGCATTCTTCCATCTTGGATTTACTCTTGACCTGTTTGGTTTGGGACCATCGTGTCGGCTCTGGTCTGGATCAGTGTGAAACCATGAACACTGTAGCAACATATACAGCTAGAAAGAAGCCAGAACACAAACAAACGACTTAGCTGCAGTTTCCATAGTATTCAAAAGATGAGGTCTGCTTTGTCTACAGAGTTGAGTATAAATGTGTATGGAGGGCTGAAGAACGGGTCACGGCTCTCAAATGAAAATACTAATTCTTTTTTCCAATGGATCACGGCCTTTCTCTCATTCTTCCGTCACAAAAACCCACATCAGTAACTAACGCTAATCTCTATTTGTCAACTTTAAGGAGAAGTGTGCACACGAGGCGCTGATTTGGATTAGAGCAGCGAGTGCCGGAGCGTTTGTTCTCGAAGCTGCCTCCCACATATAGTGACAGACTTCCTCCTCTTCCTCCTCGCTGAGAGAACATGAGCAGGAGAAGTAGGTTACACTCAGGAAGAATCATCTCCCTGGGGATAGAACAAGGACCGCAGCAGCAGCAGCAGAAAAGCAAACATTACAGCTTCCCCGTCACTTCTGCCACTGAGCGAGGAGCCGAGGAGAGGGCTTTTACTCCAGACGCCGCTAATGCTGGAGGTACGTGATCGCTGCTGCTTCTGCCGGGCTGCAACGAGACCGAGGCTGCAACGATGAGACCGAGGCTGAGAAATGGCTGCATGGCGAGACACAGAGACACTTAAAGAGGTGCTTTAAAGTGCTAATGACCAGTGATGATCTCCTGACCGCTGGGGCGTGTTCGTGGGACCCGGGGAATCACATTGTTGGAGGTTTTTGTCGACTGTTTTTAAGTTGTTGCCGAAAAAACGACATCCATCCATTTTCTTAATCCAGGGGCGTCCAAACTTTTGAGTGACAGGGCCGCTTTAGTTCACCAGACTCGTCCAGGGGCCAACATCACGGACTGAAAAACTGTTTTGACTGACATCGGCTGTTCTGAGCTTTATGATGATCTATAACAGAGCTGACGTTGGCTGAATGACACATGGCATAATCAGAAAAGACGTCAGTACAGATAAAGTTGTACTTAGCCTTAGAACCATTGTCTATATTGGCTGAGCTGAAGTTGGATGGATGACACAGTGAACTTGTGTTTTTTCTCAAAGACTACTTTGGGTTATTAAGGCAGAGGGCCACATAAAATGACACAGAGGGCTACAATTGGCCCCCGGGCCTGAGTTTGGACCTGCCTGGGTTCATCCACAGGAGCCTTGGTCTTACAGTGGGGGCTTCAGGCAAAGTGGGGTGAAGTGTCTTACACAAGGACACAACGACAGCAGACGTTAGTGGGAGTTGATGGTCTTATGGTGGACTCGAACCCACAACCTTCAGGCTTAAACGCTTCAATAAAGAAATTAAACATAAAAAACTACAACGTCTGGAGAAAAACATGGAGTCTCCACAGAGACATTTATAAAACTTGAAAACAGTGTCTTATGGTGGGATTAAACATGACAAACTATTTAAATCACAATTCAATTTAATGTGTTCTTGTATCGACCTAAACCACAGCAGTAGTTTTGTTCGGACGACTTTAGGCCTAGCGTACATCATCGCCTATGAGTTACTGCCCCTCCCACTTCGGCAATCTGGCAAAAACGTGCAACTCCTGTATCAGGCCAGTCTGGGGAATAACAGCGCGTACATCGACAGCAGCTGGCCTCAACTACAGTGTGTTTTCTGACATAAACTGTAGAGGGCGCAATACACACTGTGGCACGGTGGCTGAGTGGATAGCACTCTCGCCTCTCAGCAAGAAGGTCCTGGGTTCGAATCCCGGTCAGACCAGGGCCTTTCTGAGTGGAGTTTGCATGTTCTCCCCGTGTCTGCGTAGGTTTCCTCCGGGTACTCCGGTTTCCCCTACCACTAAAAATATGTCCAATAGTTCTGGCATGTGCCTCCTGTACTGGTGGCCCCGCTCCCATCTCTGTGTGGAGTGAGAGACAAATGCCCAAAATTAACAATTGTAAACCGCTTTGAGACTCAGATCTGCAGTGAAAAGGCGGTATATAAATAAAAACTTACTTACTTACACACAATATCACGTGACTGTCCAAAATGGCGCTCTACATGTTGAAGGTATGTTTCCCCACCAATTCTAAGTGCACCACGTGTTTTACAATTCTAGCGCTCGTGATTCTTGATGAAATCTCCGTCCATTCATATTCAGTAGCCATTTTACTTTGTTTTAGTGCAACAAGTCACATGACGGGCGCCTATGTCACATGATAACACTCTTAACACATGTTGTTGGAGCACATCGGGTCATATCTCCGGATCTGAGGATAGTTGCCGAAAAGTAGAACACGGGCAACTGACTGAATCCGGAGATCGACTGTTTATCTTCAGTTGTAAGAGCGCTCACATCGACCGATTTCAACTGATCATCTCCATCATCTACTCTCAGCCGCCTTGCAACTAGATGTCTCCAGTTACACCAGTGGCGGCACGGTGGCTGAGTGGATAGCACTCTCGCCTCTCAACAAGAAGGTCCTGGGTCCCGGTCGGACCAGGGCCTTTCTGAGTGGAGTTTGCATGTTCTCCCCGTGTCTGCGTAGGTTTCCACTGGGTACTCCGGTTTCCCCTACCACTAAAAATATGTAGGTCTCTGTGTGGAGTGAGAGACAAATTCCCAAAATTAACAATTGTAAACCGCTTTGAGACTCAGATCTGCAGTGAAAAAGCGGTATATAAATAAAGATGACTTACTTACTTACTCTGTCCATGTACGCTAGACTTCTAAAGCTGTGGATTCACCAACACAGATCAGAAAATCAAGCAGTTCAAACACACAGAGACGTTGGTCCATAAAGGTCCATAAATGTTGAATGTGGAGAGTCCTAGATCATCTCTGTCCTTAGACCCTCCTGCGTCGACAAGAAACAACTCCAAAAACCCAGTGGGAGAAAATGAGAAGCCTCCATCCATCCCTTTTCTTCTGCTTCATCCGTTGCCGGGTTTTGGGGCCTGTAGAAAAAGAGACCCCTGTAGAAAACCAAACGTCCACCAACCACCGAACAATCCCACAGAGCTCAGACGTAGTTCATTCTCTCACGACGACCAAGACACATTAATTTGTCAAAGTTGTTCACATGATAAAAAAGACTGGACTTTATTTTGTTTGTTTCGCCCAGAAATATTCAAAGCACTAAAAAAACAAAATAAATGGCTTGGATTAGGGTGAATTATTATTGTGTTTTTGCCTTTAGAATTCAAATAGACTGTCATAAATTAAAAACGTAAAGCTATAATGCAAATAAAATACTACTTAAAAATAATAATAATATCAAATAAAAATACAAAATAAAGTTAAAAAAGAGAGAGAAAAAAAGTCCTGTGGTCATTGTTGAAATTCTCGGCATCTTTCTGCAAATCTCCTCCTGGTTTGTTTTCTCCTGTATAACTGCTCACCTCTGTGTCCTCCTGCAGGGCCCTGAGAGCAGAGGTCAGACCGAACCCAGTCCGACCCCAGACCGAACCCAGACCCCTCTGCAGTCCGACCCCAGACCTGAAGCCAGACCCCAACCTCCGGATCCACACCTCCTCTCGGACTCTCGGTCTCCCGGACTAAGGGGCTCGGGGCCATGGCGGTGCCCTCGGCTCAGGACTTCCACTGGCAGAGTCTGGCCCGTCTGTCCAGTGGGCGGGTCTACCACACGCTGACGCAGGTGGGGGGGCAGGTGTTCATGCTGGGGGGCTGTGACGCTGCGGGACGGCCCTGTGCAACTGTGGAGACCTACTGCCCTGAGGTGTGACATCACATCTTATCTAGAGAGAGGGATAGAAAGAGATAGATGTGAAGAAATAGATAGAGATAAATTGAGGATGCATATATATATATATATATATATATATATATATAAGCTGTATTATTATTATTGTCAGAGAAGAAGTCTGTCTCACATTTTCAGGAAGACAATTCCAGTTTTTAGCTGCATGAATCTGAAATGCAGCCTGCCCAGGTTTGGTCCTGACTCTGGGACCAGTATCTGTCCTCACACCTGTCCTCTGTCCTCACACCTGTCCTCTGTCCTCACATCTGTCCTCTGTCCTCACATCTGTCCTCTGTCCTCACACCTGTCCTCACACCTGTCCTCTGTCCTTACACCTGTCCTCTGTCCTCACATCTGTCCTCTGTCCTCACACCTGTCCTCACACCTGTCCTCTGTCCTCACACCTGTCCTCTGTCCTCACATCTGTCCTCTGTCCTCACACCTGTCCTCACACCTGTCCTCTGTCCTCACACCGGTCCTCTGTCCTCACACCTGTCCTCTGTCCTCACACCTGTCCTCACACCTGTCCTCACACCTGTCCTCACATCTGTCCTCACACTTACCCTCTCTCCTCTGGTGGTCCTCCAGGGCGACCGGTGGTCCTCGCTCACCCAGATGCCCACCCCTCGAGCGGGTGCGGCCGTAGCGGTGCTGGGGAAGCAGGTGTTGGTGGTGGGGGGTGTGGGGGAGCAGCAGAGCCCCATGAAGGCGGTGGAGGTCTACCACACTGACGAAGGGCGCTGGAGGAAGAGGAGCGCGCTGAGGGAGCCTCTCATGGGCCTCTCCATCGCTGTCAAAGGTACAGACACATGTCCCTTTGATCTGCAGAGTCAAAGGTACAAACACATGTCCCTTTGATCTGCAGAGTCAAAGGTACACACACATGTCCCTTTGATCTGCAGAGTCAAAGGTACAAACACATGTCCCTTTGATCTGCAGAGTCAAAGGTACACACACATGTCCCTTTGATCTGCAGAGTCAAAGGTACACACACATGTCCCTTTGATCTGCAGAGTCAAAGGTACACACACATGTCCCTTTGATCTGCAGAGTCAAAGGTACAAACACATGTCCCTTTGATCTGCAGAGTCAAAGGTACACACACATGTCCCTTTGATCTGCAGAGTCAAAGGTACAAACACATGTCCCTTTGATCTGCAGAGTCAAAGGTACACACACATGTCCCTTTGATCTGCAGAGTCAAAGGTACACACACATGTCCCTTTGATCTGCAGAGTCAAAGGTACAAACACATCTCCCTCCGATCTGCAGACTCAAAGGTACACACACATCTGCACTTTTACCGTTCCAGACAAAACAAACCAGAGCTTTGAAGAGAGTTTGTTGTCGGCCCGCTGTGACCTGTGAGGTTTGTGTAGAAACCACAAAGCTACTGTTTTGTTCCCGACCGTGAAGCTCGTCAGAAGTAAACAAAAACACCAACATTCTTGTCTTTTATCTGCAAAGAATCGCAGTTTGTTTTGTCGTGTCTGAGGTCAGTCTGTTTGTCTCTGTACAGACTGCTTCTAACTGTGACTGGAACACTGCAAGAAATGATTAAATATGAGGTAATTAACGCTTAAATCAAGTGGTTTTTATCTTAATCTGACACAATCTGACTCTTTTAAAACAAGATTCTCCAACGGGACAAAGACATTTAGTTTTATTTCAAGAACTGTTGCTTTACTTTCTCTTTATCTTGTTTTAGGGCAGTCAGAATGTGCTTAAACTAAGATACATTTTTCCAAATTTGAGAAACTTATTTTTCATCACTTTTTGCAGTGAAGACCTTTGCATTGACAGTCACATGTTTATTCAGAATACATTACTCAATAATCCTGTTTACACCAACACCTCCCGAATACAAATGAGGGAATCTCTGTTTATGAAAAGATGGATTAAAACTACAGACTCTCGTGAACGTCTTTGATCACTGTTTCACTCATTCACTGCCGTGGACGTATTTGTCTGAGACGGGGATTTCTGTCAAACTTCCCTCTTTTCCACTGGCGATTACAGGACAACAGAAATAGCTAAAAACCAACTTATTTTTGCTGATGAAAATAGACAATCCAGTCTTTCAGAATCTGGTTTCATATTTCACACAGTCAGAGCACACAATATTCTGTGGGTCTTGACAAGCAGTGAAATCATCAAAAACGGCTGCGGTCAATGAGTTTAGATCCAGTTTGTCTCATGTGTAAATTGTTTTATAATTGTATGAAATGTAATGTATTTTCTAATTTCAGTTGAAATTATAAAAATGGTGCAGGAATATATTTACCCAGGATCGTATATGACTCTGATATGACTTTAGCCTTATGCTTCCCTCTGGTCAAAATGATCAGCCTTCATGATTTAAAAGTAGAAGAAAAATACCCTAAATTAGGATCTAAATGGCTCTAAATGATCTAGGGCTCCAGGAAAAATCCTCAAAAAAAATATACAAGAATTTGCCATTTGCAGTAAAACCACATTGGAAAAACTGTGCAAGACCACCCCAGTGTGCACCGGCTACAAAAATCAGCTAGAAAAATAAATATTTTTGGGTATTTTTTCATTTGTGCGGTGGGTCAAATTGTTAGTCCAGCTTTAACCCTTCAGGCGACAGAGGTTTTTTCCTAAAATGCTCAATTTTGATCTTGATTTCTTAATAACAGTGATAAGAGACAGAGGCTTTATGTAAATTAGAGAAAATATAAGAATGGCCCAAAGTTTATGTAGAAATTAAAAGTACCCATAGAGACGACAGTGGCTTAGTTTGTAGAGGATTGGCCTTTGAGCCTGTAGGTCATGGGTTCGAGCCCACCGCGAGACCTTCTCCACCGACTCCACTGATGTCTGCTGTCGTTGTGTCCTTGGGCAAGACACTTAACCCACTTTGCCTGTAAGGAGCACAGAAGTAAAGTTCGCTGCTTGCCTTGACGTGTGTCTGAAATTTCCCCACTGTGGGACGAAGACGAACCTTCTTCTTCTATAATTTGCATATTATGACTTCATATAGTGGTGGGAATCGTGGATGTTCATGAAATATTTATATTTTTTTACATTACTCGGACATGATCACACAAACAGAACTCACACTGTACCACACTCAAGGGACAGGGAAGTGGTAAACCAGAGATAATAATTGTGCGGCAGAAGTTTTTTGACACCTGAAAACAGCACATTGTCAACTTTGGCCAACCGTAGCACCTGGAGGGTTACACATCGGCGTCTGTGAGAGTTTTGTAACGCTATATGGAGAGTGTGTTGATAAAAAGTGGGTCGTTGTCGTGTTGCGTGTGCGTTTTGTGGTTGTGCGGTTGTTTCTTGGTGAAGCGCCGCCTCTGGCCTCAGATAGACGTCGTAAACACGGTTATAGGACGCACATTTTATCCTTCTGCTCTCTCAATCTCACTGACTCATCTTCGATACTTGGCCTCGGCTCGGCCCTCCCCCCTCCCAGTGCCCCCCCCCTTCACCACACATCAGCCAAAACTGAGACAAATAGTCTGACAGAATGATCGATCGAACCGAATTAAAGCGGTGTGATATTTTGTCATGGACAGTCAGTCACGCAGCCGGAAAAACGATGCAGTTTGTATTGACGTTTGTCGGATCATTGTTTTGGATACAAAGTAATGAACAACAGGTAACGAGATATTTCTTTCCTTTAGCGTTGGCGAGCAGCAAAATGAAATGGAATGATTTAATTGAATGTCGTGTGTGGCTCCAGACCTCGTCCACACTGCAAAAAATGACAAAATATGAGGTAATTTTAGCTCGAATTGAGTGGTTTTTATTTTAATCTGACACATTCTGACTGTTTTAAAACTAGATTCTCCGATCGGACATTTTTGCTTGTTACTTCCCACTGATGTCGGCTGTCACTGTGTCCTTGGGCAAGACACTTAACCCACTTTGCCTTTAAGGAGCGCCATGATGCTGATGCTGCCCCCTGGTGTCTGTGCAGAGAACCGCGCCCTGGCCATCGGGGGGATGGGAGCCGACCTCCTGCCGCGGAGCATCCTGCAGCAGTACGACCTCCGGAAGGACGTGTGGGCGATGCTGCCCCCGATGCCCACGCCGCGCTACGACGCTAACGCTAACCTGCTGGGGAGCAAGCTCTATGTGGCAGGTACACACTAATGATGATATTAATACAAATAATAATAATAATAATAATGTGATTGTTTTATACAGCGTTTTTCATGATGGGAACTACTTTAGTCACAGCTTCTTCTCTCCTGGGTTTGAATCAGAACACGGCGTTTCTCTGAGGAGTTTGCATGTTCTCCCTGTGTCTGTATGGATTATCTTGAGCTCCGGTTTCCCCTTCCTCTAAAAACATGCACAGGTCAAATCCTCCAGCTCTGGTCCTGGAGATGGGTCCATGAGAATAACACGGTGGCTGAGTGGATAGCACTCTCGCCTCTCAGCAAGAAGGTCCTGGGTTCAAATCCTGGTCGGAACAGGGTCTTTCTGAGTGGAGTTTGCACGTTCTCCCTGTGCCTGCGTAGGTTTCCTCCGGGTACTCCGGTTTCCCCTACCACTAAAAACATGCTCACTAGGTTAAATCCTCCAGCTCTGGTCCTGACCCAGAGCATCAACATCTGGAGATGGGTTTCCGGGCGCTGTTACTACGGCGACCACTGCTCCTGACGTAAGCCTTAGGGGCATCAGGATCTGGGTCAAATGCAGAGGATTGAATTGTCCTACAGGGAGTAATAAAGTGCACCTTTACCCATGATGCTGGACTGGGCGACTGAGAGAGGCCCGAGTGGAAAGGAAGGATGAGTCAAATGCAGACACAATAAAGAAAAAATTATCTCACTCTCTCAGCCAATCGGCTCTGAGACAGTCAGCTCTCAGCCAATCAGCTCTGAGACAGTCAGCTCTCAGCCAATCAGCTCTCAGCTCTCAGCCCATTGTGTCATATGGTTTCTAACAAATATACATGAGGTAATAAAAAGATGAATCCCATCCACTTTGTTCATAGCACATTTCATAAACACAGTTTCCAAAGTGCTGCACAATAAAACACTAATTAAAACAAATCCACAGTAAAACAGAAACATCATTAAAGTTTAAATAGGAAAAACCTTGTGTCCATAAATGTGATAATATGAAAATCACAATAAAACAAAATGAAATAAAATAAGATGAAGACAGAATGTTTCTGTTTCTGAACAAACAAGACATAACTTTTATAGAACACTTTATGATATTTTCCTAAATTGCTGTTTTGACTTTCTTGATTCTGAACGACACTGGGCACACATGATTTTTTAGGTGAGAAAGCGCCCGACACGGAGCAGCGCCGTGGTGCTGATATTGAAACGGCAGTGTAAAGGTTAGTTACATTAAGACAGATTACATGTGGGAACGAGACAGATGGTCGGAGTAATTGGCTGTGCAGCGAGGAGGCGAACAGAGGACGCTTCACATTAGACGCTCGCAGATAAAGTCACGCAGGTCACTCTGAGATAGTTTCATTTACGACTGTTTCTTTAATGTGACCTCAGTAATGACCCGTGTGTGTGTCCCAGGCGGGCGTCAGTGCAAGAGGCCGGTGAAGGTCCTGGAGGTGTACGACACAGAGGCTCGCAGCTGGAGCACGCTGCCCGCCCAGCCCTGTAAGCGCTCTTACGCGGGGGTGCTGTGGGACCCCCTGGGGAGGCTGTGTCTGTTGGGGGGGCTGCGGCAGGGCGGGGGCCATCAGAGCTCCAAGTTCACCAAGAACGTCAACATTTTCGACACCAACCAAGGTATTATTTCCCCTAGTGGGTTTATATGAAGCATTTGTATTTCTCTCTCTCTCTCTCTCTCTCTCTCGCTCTCTCTCTGGTCTCTCTCTCTCTCTCTCTCTCTCTCTCTCTCTCGCTCTCTCTCTGGTCTCTCTCTCTCTGGTCTCTCTCTCTCTCTCTCTCTCTCGCTCTCTCTCTGGTCTCTCTCTCTCTCTCTCTCTCTCTCTCTCTCTCGCTCTCTCTCTCGGTCTCTCTCTCTCTCTCTCTCTCTCTCTCGCTCTCTCTCTGGTCTCTCTCTCTCTGGTCTCTCTCTCTCTCTCTCTCTCTCTCTCTCTCTCGCTCTCTCTCTGGTCTCTCTCTCTCTCTCTCTCTCTCTGGTCTCTCTCTCTCTGGTCTCTCTCTCTCTCTCTCTCTCTCTCTCTCTCGCTCTCTCTCTGGTCTCTCTCTCTCTCTCTCTCTGGTCTCTCTCTCTCTCTCTCTCTCTCTCTCTCTGTCTCTCTCTCTCTCGTCTCTCTCTCTCTCTCTCTCTCTCTGGTCTCTCTCTCTCTCTCTCTCTCTGCAATAACAGGGTGTGTGCAATATGGACTGTAACATTGTGGACTGTGGCCTGTGCTTTAATGCAAGCAATGCTGTAGAATGTAACCATGTGACCCTGACACCATGTGACCCTGATACCATGTGACCGTGACACCATGTGACCCTGATACCATGTGACCGTGACACCATGTGACCCTGATACCATGTGACCCTGATACCATGTGACCCTGACACCATGTTTGTGTCACCTAACCGTATGGGACCACTGCCCCTTGGCCATAAACCGACATATTTAGATTCATTAAAGCATTATACCTGTTCATTGACTTGCACTGTTCCATTCTGTTCCATTCTGTTCCGTCCTGATCCCAAACACTTCAGTTAATTTCAAACTCAGTCGCTCTGACGAAGGCTCAGAGTCACTTTGAACAAATTTTTTCTAAATGAGTTTTGGGAATTCTTCCAGTTCCATGATGTCCTTAACACTGTGCTTTCAATCACATCACACCATGTTAGCGCTGGACCATGTTAGCGCTGGGCCATGTTAGCGCTGGACCATGTTATCACTGGACCATGTTAGCGCTGGACCATGTTAGCGCTGGACCATGTTAGCGCTGGGCCATGTTAGCGCTGGACCATGTTATCACTGGACCATGTTATCACTGGACCATGTTAGCGCTGGACCATGTTAGCGCTGGGCCATGTTAGCGCTGGACCATGTTATCACTGGACCATGTTAGCGCTGGGCCATGTCAGCGCTGGGCCATGTTAGCGCTGGGCCATGTTAGCGCTGGGCCATGTTAGCGCTGGGCCATGTCAGCGCTGGGCCATGTTAGCGCTGGGCCATGTTAGCGCTGGACCATGTTATCGCTGGACCATGTTAGCGCTGGGCCATGTCAGCGCTGCACCATGTCAGCTCTGGACCATGTTAGCGCTGGGCCATGTGAGCTTTGGGCCATGTTAGCGCTGGGCCATGTTAGCTCTGGACCATGTTAGCGCTGGGCCATGTGAGCGCTGGGCCATGTTAGCGCTGGGCCATGTCAGCGCTGCACCATGTCAGCTCTGGACCATGTTAGCGCTGGACCACGTTAGCGCTGGGCCATGTTAGCGCTGGGCCATGTTAGCGCTGGACCACGTTAGCGCTGGACCACGTTAGCGCTGGACCACATTAGCGCTGGACCACGTTAGCGCTGGACCAGAGAAGTTAGTGTTTAGAGATATTGTTGATTTCTCTTGTGTTGTGTGCTCCTCATTCTACTGTTCTGTTTCGGATGATGCAACACTGACATTTTCCTTAATCTTAATCCAAAACAAGATAAACACAATCACACAAGACTTTAAAATCATAAATAATCACAGTACAATAAAAAGAGTAAAGAGAAGAAGCCTGCCTCACATTTTCAGGGAGACTGCTCCAGATTTTAGCCGCATGAATCCGTTTAATTCTTCCCTTTTTGTCGGTGACATTTCAACATTCTATCCCTGTCTTTCTTAATAACATGTGCTGCAGTTTTACAGACTCAGAGTTTGCCCTTTAGCAACACACATCTCCGGGAATCTCTCTCACTCTCTCTGCTCCTGCACCTGTTTGTCTTTTACATATTTTAGTACCATTTCAATCAAACACAGCCTTATTCTAATGTATATATTTGGATTTTACACTGCTGTGATTTCTCTCTGGCTTGGTTATTTTTAGTTTTCTGTTTTGTTCTATTCCCTTTGCCCCAGGTGGGAAAAATAATCTCTAACTTTAGCAAACTTGCTTCTTTATTTTGCTACAGCTAGCAAAATACGGGGCGACAGTGAGTCAGTTGGTAGAACATTGGCCTTTGAGCCTGAAGGTCGTGGGTTCGAGTCCACCTCAAGACTTTCTCCACTGACTCCCTCTGATGTCTAGTGCAGTAACCGTTGTGTCCTTGGGCAAGACACTTAACCTCTGAGAACAGCAGGTGCCACAGTGGGGCGGCTGCGGCTGTAAAGTGCCAAACTGTGTCTGTGTCCTTAGGCAAGACACTTCACCCCATTGCATAGAATGAGTCTGGTGTGTGTATGAATGGTTGGTGGTGGTGGGAGGGGCCGATGGCACAGACTGGTTGCCTCGCTTCTGTCAGTGTGCCCCAGGGCAGCTGTGGCTACAGTAGTTTATCACCGCTGTGTTTGGAGAGAATGAAGTGAAAAAACTTTGAGTGTCTAAAAAAGCACTGTAAAAAACTGATGCATAATTGTTTTTTTATTATGCTAAAGCTAGAGAGGTTTTTTCATGTTAGTTTAGTGTTATTGTTCATTTATCTTGTGCTGTAAGTGCGATGCAACACTGACATTTCCCTTCTGTGGGACCATGCCGTGTCTCTTCATCCACCTCAGTCTGACGTGAACAGGCCTCACGCTGATAAAACATCCATCGTTATGCACAATTGTACAAAACCAGCTCGAACCAAATGATTGCATTCAGCACAGATAACATGCATTTCTTTATTTTCTTTATCGACAGTTTTCACAACAGACTCATGCGTCTTCGTTACCAAACCCTGCGACGCAAACTTGCATTGACTTGACTGTGAAGAATGCTCTTTCTGCTCCGACAGCCTCGTTCTTGTCTCATTCCGCCGGCTCTTCCATACAATGACTTATCCCCCCCCCTCCGCCAAAGGCACCCCGGAGTAACAGGTGAACAAATTGAGGAGGGACCGCAAGGAGAAATGGGGGAGGAGGGAGATCGATAAGTCATTTTCAGACAGCCGGCTCCTCGCGTTCACGCATCGCGCTCGGATGGAAGACAAATAAAGCGGAACACGAGGGCGATAATGTTAATGTATGATAATGGAGAGAAAGTTTTGCCTACACTCGCACACGCGCTGCTTTTGATTGCCGTGGGGGGGGGGGGGGGTGGGGGGGGGGGGTTGGGTTGGGGGGGGGGTGGGGGGGAGGGGGTGAGGCGAGAACCCATTCCTCCGATCTAATTTGGCGGAGATGAGATGGAAGATGGGTTGCGGAGGGAGGGCCAGAGAAGGAGCAGCGCTTTAAATTACAAGATCCAGAGACAGATTGCTTTATTACCCATCTCCAGCAATATCTGGCCGCACGCTCGCACAATCAGCTGTCGCACACACACACACACACACACACACACACACACACTTTTCTATTACAGTTCTATTCCGTATCGGCGGTATTAGCACGCGCGCCTGTTAGACTTTGGCTGGATTGTATGTTGGGCGTTGGGAAAGCGATGTGGACAAACCGGCGATTGGGGGAGAAAAGTTTGGCTCGTATCAGTCGCTGTGAGTTTGATAATAATGGATTTCTGTTGTTGTCATTGTTGTGGCGTCTGTTGTTGTCGTTAAAGCAGCGGTTGTGCGATAAATAACATTGGCTTTAACTTAGATTGAAGTAAGTTTGAGTGAATGTCAGTGACCGTTGAAACTTTTTAGGTAGAACTGGTTTAATCGTGTGTTATGGTGTGGATTTTATGTTTGTATTTTTGTTTTATTTTGACGTCTTATCTGTGAATTAGTTTTAGTTTGACTTCCTGTCCTGTCTTGATTGTCTGCCCCGCCCTGATGTGTGTGTCTGTTTGTACCCTGGTCTCCTCTCCCCTTGTGCTGGTCCATTGTCTTGTCAACGTCTTGTCTTGTCTTGTTCATGTCTCTGTCTGTTTCCGTCCGGTTCCTGGTCCTGTTTTGGTTTTGGATTTTGAGTTGGTTTCATCTGGACTTTTTTTTATCATTAAACCCTTATTTTTGGCATTCCTGCAATTTTGGGTCTTCATTCACTTCATCACATGACATCGTGAGGCCCTGCATTTATTGGTTTAAACCTCTCTGGGAAAATCTGATATAAAATGATCAGATGGAGTAGTAATATACATTTCTGACACATTTCTGACATTTTGTTTTGAGAGAGACATTAACAGGAAAGGCATTCTGGGATGTTGCAGATTTGCAACATTATCCCGCTCTGTTAAATAGAGCTGACCCGGGAAAAACCCAGAGGAAATATAATCTACTGATTCTACTGTTTCTATATTCAGTATATTCATCTTTAATTTGATGAAGCTTTGGTTTCAGATAATCAGAGCTGCAGAAGCAGGAGCTGATACAAAGACTTTGAAACAGTGTCTATGCAGATATAAAAACAAAGTAGATGAGCTCAGGTTGTCATGGTTGCCTTTTTTTAGTTTCTGTTTGATTCTGTATTGTGTGTTCTCCTGTGTCCTTTAGAGTTGTACTTGTTCTGATGTGTTGCACCTGTGTCTCTCTGCTAAATACCCTGTGCTTTTCCTCTTGATGTCAGCCCATAAAGTTTTTGTTCCGTGGTCCTTGTTTCCGTCCTCAGTTCCTGTTTTACTTTCAGTTGATTTGAGAATTTTTGTTTATTAAATGTTATTGTGGCAGTTATTTATTGTGGCTCGTTCCTCCTTTCGACTGCGTACTGTAACACAAGTGCTTTCAGGTGTGTTTGAATTAAATGTATTTATCATTTTTGTATGTCCCTAAATCACAACAGTGGTTATCTCGGAGGACCTAACAAATGTGTTGATTCACCAACGCAGATCAGAGAAACAGATCAAACAACAACAAACACATAGAGCCGTTGGTCCATAAGGGGCAGAGACTATTTAGTCCATTAATGTTGTTGAAAGTCCAGTGTCCCGGATCATCGGCAAGAAACTACATCAAACACTTGGACATTGTGAGTGTGTTGTGTGATGACCGGTGGTGGGTGCCTCGCTCCTGTCAGTGTGTCCCAGGGCAGCTGCGGCTACAGTATTTTACCCTTAGTGTGTGTGGAGTCAAAGAATAATTCCATGTGAAACCTCTTTGAATGTCCAGAAAAGTGCAATACAAAACTATTTCTTTGTTATTATTATTCCCATGATGGAAGTGAAGGATCAGGATGACTCTGGGAATGTGTGAAGAAAAAAACATGGATCAAAATGTGTTTTTTGTGTTTCGAGACAATACATTAAAGGAGCTATGCCTGATTCTGCAGGGTTTGGATGTTTAGCCCCGCCCCCAACTCGCTCACAGGCTTCTCATGTACCCTGCGCTCTCATCCCACGGAGACATCTAGTTTTATTTGCAATCTATATGCTAACATTAGCATTAGCGCAACTTAGGCTGTACAACAATCACTGATGAAATGGTACAAAAGCAAAGCACTGCTAACACAATATATAACTGAAAGATTACCACTAGTTTCACGTCCGAATGTAGTCCGAGCGTAGATGGTCCGAGCGTAGATGGTCCGAGCGTAGATGGTCCGAGCGTAGATGGTCCGAGCGTAGATGGTCCGAGCGTAGATGGTCCGAGCGTAGGTAGTCCGAGCGTAGCTAGTCCGAGCGTAGATAGTCCGAGCGCAGATAGTCCGGGCGGTCCGAGCGTAGATGGTCCGAGCGTAGATGGTCCGAGCGTAGATGGTCCGAGCGTAGATAGTCCGAGCGTAGATAGTCCGAGCGTAGATAGTCCGGGCGGTCCGAGCGTAGATGGTCCGAGCGTAGATGGTCCGAGCGCAGATGGTCCGAGCGTAGATAGTCCGAGCGTAGATAGTCCGAGCGTAGATAGTCCGAGCGTAGCTAGTCCGAGCGTAGATAGTCCGGGCAGTCCGAGCGTAGATGGTCCGAGCGTAGATGGTCCGAGCGTAGATAGTCCGAGCGTAGATAGTTCGAGCGTAGATAGTCCGAGCGTAGCTAGTCCGAGCGTAGATAGTCCGAGCGCAGATAGTCCGAGCGTAGATGGTCCGAGCGTAGATAGTCCGAGCGTAGATAGTCCGAGCGTAGCTAGTCCGAGCGTAGATAGTTCGAGCGTAGATAGTCCGAGCGTAGCTAGTCCGAGCGTAGATAGTCCGAGCGCAGATAGTCCGAGCGCAGATAGTCCGGGCGGTCCGAGCCTAGATGGTCCGAGCGTAGATGGTCCGAGCGTAGATAGTCCGAGCGTAGATAGTTCGAGCGTAGATAGTCCGAGCGTAGATAGTCCGAGCGTAGATAGTCCGAGCGTAGATAGTCCGAGCGTAGATAGTCCGAGCGTAGATGGTCCGAGCGCAGATAGTCCGAGCATAGATAGTTCGAGCGTAGATAGTCCGAGCGTAGCTAGTCCGAGCGTAGATAGTCCGAGCGCAGATAGTCCGAGCGTAGATAGTTCGAGCGTAGATAGTCCGAGCGTAGCTAGTCCGAGCGTAGATAGTCCGAGCGCAGATAGTCCGGGCGGTCCGAGCGTAGATGGTCCGAGCGTAGATTGTCCGAGCGTAGATGGTCCGAGCGTAGATAGTCCGAGCGTAGCTAGTCCGAGCGTAGATAGTCCGGGCGGTCCGAGCGTAGATGGTCCGAGCGTAGATGGTCCGAGCGCAGATGGTCCGAGCGTATATAGTCCAAGCGTAGATAGTCCGAGCGTAGCTAGTCCGAGCGTAGATAGTCCGGGCAGTCCGAGCGTAGATGGTCCGAGCGTAGATGGTCCGAGCATAGATAGTCCGAGCGTAGATAGTCCGAGCGTAGCTAGTCCGAGCGTAGATAGTTCGAGCGTAGATAGTCCTAGCGTAGCTAGTCCGAGCGTAGATAGTCCGAGCGCAGATAGTCCGAGCGCAGATAGTCCGGGCGGTCCGAGCCTAGATGGTCCGAGCGTAGATGGTCCGAGCGTAGATAGTCCGAGCGTAGATAGTTCGAGCGTAGATAGTCCGAGCGTAGATAGTCCGAGCGTAGATAGTCCGAGCGTAGATAGTCCGAGCGTAGATAGTCCGAGCGTAGATAGTCCGAGCGTAGATAGTCCGAGCGCAGATAGTCCGAGCGTAGATAGTCCGAGCGTAGATAGTCCGAGCGTAGATAGTCCGAGCGTAGATAGTCCGAGCGCAGATAGTCCGAGCGTAGATAGTCCGAGCGTAGATAGTCCGAGCGTAGATAGTCCGAGCGTAGATAGTCCGAGGCGGTCCCGCAGGTCTCTCCCTCAGACCAGTCTCTCCAGAGGATACGATGTAACTAGCTCTGTTCAGGGCTTGGTTTCTTCTTTGATCATGTTGTGGCTTTAGTTCCTCTTCTCTTCCTCACTGTTGTGTGGTTTGGGCTGTTTTGCTATGTCTGCAGTTACAGCCAGAGGAGTTATAGCCACTTATGCTAACATGCTAACATGCTACTGTGTTTAGCAGCGCTGTAGAGGCTAGAGGACGCAGCCTCGTTCTGTGATTGGAGGAGAGCGGGCGTCACGCTAAGTCTCTACTCAGCACTTTTTACGCCTGAGTTCATACACAGCTGAATCAATGAGCTCAAGTTTTACATTAAATTACGGATTTTAATACAGCCATGTATTATTGCTTTTTACTATGTATGTATGTATGAACTCATTAGAAAATAAATCGGGGATAGCTTCTTTAAGTACATCCAATTCAACGTACGTCTAAACTCATCTGCCAAGAAACTGACTTCCTCTTCTCTCTCCGCTGTCTGCTCCCATCTGCTGCTGCGTCTGCACCAAACAAACTCCTGTCGTTCCATGTACTTTTTTCACTGTCATGGTGTTTATCTTATCTAAAAAGTAAAAAGTAACGGAGTGTTTGTCACGCGTTTCCAGAGAACACCAAGAACTAATTAGAAGACAGGCGGAAACCACAAACCCATGTCCCCTGAGGCTGGACTCTGGCAAACACACACAAGGTTTTCATCTCTTTCTCAATCGTTCCAAGACAAAATAGGCCAACGAGCAACGGAATGTAGCCAGAATATATGCAGTAGTGACTCAATTAGTAAGTTTGTCAGTCCTGCATAAAGGCTTCTACTAGCTAAGAGTGGACAGGAAGTGGGTGGACCAGTTTTTCAGATGAATAACTGGGATATGCTTGTGCGGTGGAGAAATAAAAGAGATTTAAATAACTCTACATTATGTATTTGGTTCAAGGATGTTCGACTTTCACTTGTTTATCGCCTGAAAGAGTCTCAGGTAATAAAGTCTTTACTATTTTGGCAAAACACATTTCCAAAAGAATCCCCTTCTTCATTGAAAATGGGTGTTTAAGTGTTCAAAAATAGGGACCACTGGGACATGTCCAATAACGAAGAAAGAAAGTAGCAGCAGAAGTAATAGTAGTAGTAGCAGTAGTATTAGTAGTAGTAGCAGTAGTATTAGTAGTAGTAGCAGTAGTATTAGTAGTAGTAGCAGTAGTAATAGTAGTAGTAGCAGTAGTAAGAGTAGTAGTAGCAGTAGTATTAGTAGCAGTAGTATTAGTAGTAGTAGCAGTAGTATTAGTAGTAGTAGCAGCAGTATTAGTAGTAGTAGCAGTAGTATTAGTAGTAGTAAAAGTAGTATTAGTAGTAGTAGCAGTAGTAATAGTAGTAGTAGCAGTAGTATTAGTAGTAGTAGCAGCAGTATTAGTAGTAATAGCAGTAGTATTAGTAGTAGTAGTAGCAGTAGTATTAGTAATAGTAGCAGTAGTATTAGTAGTAGTAGCAGCAGTGTTAGTAGCAGTAGTATTAGTAGCAGTAGCAGTAGTATTAGTAGCAGTAGTATTAGTAGTAGTAGCAGTAGTATTAGTAGTAGTAGCAGAAGTATTAGTAGTAGTAGCAGTAGTATTAGTAGTAGTAGCAAAAGTATTAGTAGTAGTAGCAGTAGTATTAGTACTACTAGCACTAGTAGTAATAGCAGTAGTATTAGTAATAGTAGCAGTAGTATTAGTAATAGTAGCAGTAGTATTAGTAGCAGTAGTATTAGTAGTAGTAGCAGCAGTATTAGTAGCAGTAGTATTAGTAGCAGTAGTAGCAGTAGCAGTAGTATTAGTAGCAGTAGTATTAGTAGTAGTAGTAGTAGCAGCAGTATTAGTAGCAGTAGTAGCAGTAGTTTTAGTAGTAGTAGTAGTAGTAGTAGCAGCAGTATTAGTAGCAGTAGTATTAGTAGCAGTAGTATTAGTAGTAGTAGTAGTAGCAGCAGCAGTATTAGTAGCAGTAGCAGTAGTATTAGTAGCAGTAGTATTAGTAGCAGTAGTAGTATTAGTAGCAGTAGTATTAGTAGCAGTAGTATTAGTAGCAATAGTATTAGTAGCAGCAGTAGCAGTAGTATTAGTAGCAGTAGTATTAGTAGCAGCAGTAGCAGTAGTATTAGTAGCAGTAGTATTAGTAGTAGTAGTAGCAGCAGTATTAGTAGCAGTAGTAGCAGTAGTATTAGTAGCAGTAGTATTAGTAGCAGTAGTATTAGTAGTAGTAGCAGCAGTATTAGTAGCAGTAGTATTAGTAGCAGTAGTAGCAGTAGCAATAGTATTAGTAGCAGTAGTATTAGTAGTAGTAGTAGTAGTAGTAGCAGCAGTATTAGTAGCAGTAGTATTAGTAGCAGTAGTATTAGTAGTAGTAGTAGTAGTAGCAGCAGTATTAGTAGCAGTAGCAGTAGTATTAGTAGCAGTAGTATTAGTAGCAGTAGTATTAGTAGCAGTAGCAGTAGTATTAGTAGCAGTAGTATTAGTATTAGTAGCAGTAGTATTAGTATTAGTAGCAGTAGTATTAGTAGCAGTAGTAGCAGTAGCAGTAGTATTAGTAGCAATAGTATTAGTAGTAGTAGTAGTAGTAGCAGCAGTATTAGTAGCAGTAGTAGCAGTAGTAGCAGCAGTATTAGTAGCAGTAGTATTAGTAGCAGTAGTATTAGTAGTAGTAGTAGTAGTAGCAGCAGTATTAGTGGCAGTAGCAGTAGTATTAGTAGCAGTAGTATTAGTAGCAGTAGTATTAGTAGCAGTAGCAGTAGTATTAGTAGCAGTAGTAGCAGTAGTATTAGTATTAGTAGCAGTAGTATTAGTATTAGTAGCAGTAGTATTAGTAGCAGTAGTATTAGTAGCAGTAACAGTAGTATTAGTAGCAGTAGTATTAGTAGCAGTAGTATTAGTAGCAGTAGCAGTAGTATTAGTAGCAGTAGTATTAGTAGCAGTAGCAGTAGTATTAGTAGCAGTAGTAGTAGTAGCAGTAGTATTAGTAGCAGTAGTATTAGTATTAGTAGCAGTAGTATTAGTAGCAGTAGTATTAGTATTAGTAGCAGTAGTATTAGTAGTAGTAGCAGTAGTATTAGTATTAGTAGCAGTAGTATTAGTATTAGTAGCAGTAGTATTAGTAGTAGTAGCAGTAGTATTAGTAGCAGTAGTATTAGTATTAGTAGCAGTAGCAGTAGTATTAGTAGCAGTAGCAGTAGTATTAGTAGCAGTAGTATTAGTATTAGTAGCAGTATTAGTTACAGCGCCTCCATAAACAAACAGACTTCCTCGTCTCTAAATAAACATTATTTGAACAAAGAGAATGAAATGATAAAAAAGCTCCTGATCCGACTCTTCAAACTCGTTACATAACAATCCACAAATCAGGAGTTCTTCAGAACCCGGTGCTGTACTGTACCTTTGATAAGATAAGTCTGTCTCCTGATGTACCGGTGCTGTACCTTTGATAAGATAAGTCTGTCTCCTGATGTACCGGTGCTGTACTGTACCTTTGATAAGATAAGTCTGTCTCCTGATGTACCGGTGCTGTACTGTACCTTTGATAAGATAAGTCTGTCTCCTGATGTACCAGTACTGTACCTTTGATAAGATAAGTCTGTCTCCTGATGTACCAGTACTGTACCTTTGATAAGATAAGTCTGTCTCCTGATGTACCAGTACTGTACCTTTGATAAGATAAGTCTGTCTCCTGATGTACCAGTACTGTACCTTTGATAAGATAAGTCTGTCTCCTGATGTACCGGTGCTGTACTGTACCTTTGATAAGATAAGTCTGTCTCCTGATGTACCGGTGCTGTACTGTACCTTTGATAAGATAAGTCTGTCTCCTGATGTACCAGTACTGTACCTTTGATAAGATAAGTCTGTCTCCTGATGTACCGGTGCTGTACTGTACCTTTGATAAGATAAGTCTGTCTCCTGATGTACCAGTACTGTACCTTTGATAAGATAAGTCTGTCTCCTGATGTACCGGTGCTGTACTGTACCTTTGATAAGATAAGTCTGTCTCCTGATGTACCGGTGCTGTACTGTACCTTTGATAAGATTACCTTCTTTATTTCCTTCATGACAGGACTCTGTTGTCGTGAGAGAAGGAGAAACCCTCTCAGCAGTTATTGGCTGATGTAATCTACATGTTTACAGTTCAGAGGACGGTCATAAAGTGTGTTTTTGAAACAAATGGGTCTTAATCACACTCTACCACGGCTTGTATCAGCGTGAGTCCTCAGAGGAGCTCATGTGAGCTCCTTTCTCTTCCTGGTTTATCTGCTAAGGACAGCAACAGGTTTGGCTAACATACATATAACACATTTTAAGATCATTTAAAATGCACTTAGGGTAATTTTTCAATGACTAAAGGAATGATAAGAAAGAGGTGAAGTGTTAGACGGTTGGTTTTAGAAATTGGATGCAGCCGGCTGCAGCAAAACAGAGGAGTTTATGTTTGTTTTACTTTTTAAAACTCATTGGACTCATTTCCAAATGGAGGATTACATATCTACGCTCAAACTATTATCTGGACTTAAACACAGAACTATATATATATATATATATATATATATATATGATATATATGTTGATCTGATTGGGCTGAAGTCAGTGCTTCACCAGTGTTTCCACATTCACAGTGGAGCGTGTTTGTGTTTAGTGCTTACACAGAGAGAGATGAAGAGTGAGGAGGACTTCAGCAGCAAAACAGACTTTTCTAGATGGAAATATCGTCAATATTTCAGACTCACTGAGGATAAAGGTCAACATGTGCACGTCGAGTGCACATTATGTTCCAGAACGAAGCAAAAAAGTAACGCAATAGTTACTTTTACTGGTAACTAGTTACTTTTATAGTGGAGTAACTCCGTTAGTAACTCAGTTACTTTTTGGGAGAAGTAACTAGTAACTATAACTAATTACTAAGTAACGTGCCCAACACTGTGTACCTTTGATAAGATAAGTCCTGATGTACCAGGGGACTGTTCTGTACCTTTGATAAGATAAGTCCTGATGTACCAGGGGACTGTTCTGTACCTTTGATAAGATAAGTCCTGATGTACCAGGGGACTGTTCTGTACCTTTGATAAGATAAGTCCTGATGTACCAGGGGACTGTTCTGTACCTTTGATAAGATAAGTTCTGATGTACCAGGGGACTGTTCTGTACCTTTGATAAGATAAGTCCTGATGTACTAGGGGACTGTTCTGTACCTTTGATAAGATAAGTCCTGATGTACCAGGGGACTGTTCTGTACCTTTGATAAGATAAGTCCTGATGTACCAGGGGACTGTTCTGTACCTTTGATAAGATAAGTCCTGATGTACCAGGGGACTGTTCTGTACCTTTGATAAGATAAGTTCTGATGTACCAGGGGACTGTTCTGTACCTTTGATAAGATAAGTGTGTCTCCTGATGTACCAGGGGACTGTTCTGTACCTGTGATAAGATAAGTTCTGATGTACCGGTGAGTGGGTGTCTCCTCCGTCACGTGTCCGAGTGAGCTCAGACAAAAGCGTCTCTCGGCCTTTGATAGTTTTAATCACACGGAGCCTTCACAGGAGCCGCTGGAATTAGCAGCGACTACAAAGACCCCGTCCCTCTCTCCCTTTGTCAGGCCTCCTCTCACTCCACTCGCTTCTGTCTCATTATCCGCTTCTCTTCGGAGTAATAAGCATCTTCTTTTTTTTATTCTCCATCCAAAGACAATCTTGGCATGAGAACTTAAATGAGAAAATCCTTTTAGAGCGACGGAGACGGAGGATTGGGACGCCAGTGTCTCCGAGTAATTGAAAATGTACAGATAGAGTTGAAAGGCAGATGTGAGAACGTCGTTGAGAAATGAAATCACTCACATTCAATTTGAATTCAGGGAGTTCCTGCAATATCTGCATTTACCCCCAGAGCTTGTCTTTAATGGACCTGGATCTGAGGAACAATGGATCACGTTTGTTGAAGCTCTGTAGCACGTCCCAAAGACCATCCAGAGGTGAGGTCACTTTTTAAGAGGCCGAGTCCTGTAGTGCGGTCGCTCCCTTCCCTTTGGGCCTTCTCCCCTCCCTCTGGGTCCTCTCCCCTGGGTCGCTCCCTCTGGGCCCTCTCCCCCGGCTCGCTCCTCTTCCCCAGGTCCTCTCCCCTGGGTCGCTCCCTTTCCTTTGGACCTTCTCCCCTGGGTCGCCCCCTCCCTTTGGGTCCTCTCCCCCAGGTTGCTCCTTTCCCCCAGGCCCTCTCCCCTGGGTCACTCCCTCCCTCTGGACCCTCTCCCCGGGTCGCTCCTTTCCCCCAGGCCCTCTCCCCCAGGCCCTCTCCCCTGGGTCACTCCCTCCCTCTGGGTCCACTCCCCCGGGTCGCTCCTTTCCCTCAGGCCCTCTCCCTTGGGTTGCTCCCTGTCCCCTCCCTCTGGGTCCTCTCCCCCGGGTCGCTCCTTTCCCTCAGGCCCTCTCCCTCTGGGCCCTCTCCCCTGGGTCACTCCCTCCCTCTGGGTCCACTCCCCCGGGTCGCTCCTTTCCCTCAGGCCCTCTCCCTTGGGTTGCTCCCTGTCCCCTCCCTCTGGGTCCTCTCCCCCGGGTCGCTCCTTTCCCTCAGGCCCTCTCCCTCTGGGCCCTCTCCCCTGGGTCACTCCCTCCCTCTGGGTCCACTCCCCCGGGTCGCTCCTTTCCCTCAGGCCCTCTCCCTTGGGTTGCTCCCTGTCCCCTCCCTCTGGGTCCTCTCCCCCAGGTTGCTCCTTTCCCCAGGCCCTCTCCCCTGGGTCACTCCCTCCCTCTGGACCCTCTCCCCGGGTCGCTCCTTTCCCCCAGGCCCTCTCCCCTGGGTCACTCCCTCCCTCTGGACCCTCTCCCCGGGTCGCTCCTTTCCCCCAGGCCCTCTCCCCCAGGCCCTCTCCCCTGGGTCACTCCCTCCCTCTGGGTCCTCTCCCCTGGGTCGCTCCCTCTGGGCCCTCTCCCCCGGCTCGCTCCTCTTCCCCAGGTCCTCTTCCCCAGGTCCTCTCCCCTGGGTCGCTCCCTTTCCTTTGGACCTTCTCCCCTGGGTCGCCCCCTCCCTTTGGGTCCTCTCCCCCAGGTTGCTCCTTTCCCCCAGGCCCTCTCCCCTGGGTCACTCCCTCCCTCTGGACCCTCTCCCCGGGTCGCTCCTTTCCCCCAGGCCCTCTCCCCCAGGCCCTCTCCCCTGGGTCACTCCCTCCCTCTGGGTCCACTCCCCCGGGTCGCTCCTTTCCCTCAGGCCCTCTCCCTTGGGTTGCTCCCTGTCCCCTCCCTCTGGGTCCTCTCCCCCGGGTCGCCCCTTCCCCTCAGGGCCTCTCCCTCTGGGCCCTCTCCCCTGGGTCACTCCCTCCCTCTGGGTCCACTCCCCCGGGTCGCTCCTTTCCCTCAGGCCCTCTCCCTTGGGTTGCTCCCTGTCCCCTCCCTCTGGGTCCTCTCCCCCGGGTCGCTCCTTTCCCTCAGGCCCTCTCCCTCTGGGCCCTCTCCCCTGGGTCACTCCCTCCCTCTGGGTCCACTCCCCCGGGTCGCTCCTTTCCCTCAGGCCCTCTCCCTTGGGTTGCTCCCTGTCCCCTCCCTCTGGGTCCTCTCCCCCGGGTCGCTCCTTTCCCTCAGGCCCTCTCCCTCTGGGCCCTCTCCCCTGGGTCACTCCCTCCCTCTGGGTCCACTCCCCCGGGTCGCTCCTTTCCCCCAGGCCCTCTCCCCTGGGTCACTCCCTCCCTCTGGACCCTCTCCCCGGGTCGCTCCTTTCCCCCAGGCCCTCTCCCCTGGGTCACTCCCTCCCTCTGGACCCTCTCCCCGGGTCGCTCCTTTCCCCCAGGCCCTCTCCCCCAGGCCCTCTCCCCTGGGTCACTCCCTCCCTCTGGGTCCTCTCCCCCGGGTCGCTCCTTTCCCTCAGGCCCTCTCCCTCTGGGCCCTCTCCCCTGGGTCACTCCCTCCCTCTGGGCCCTCTCCCCTGGGTCACTCCCTCCCTCTGGGTCCTCTCCCCTGGGTCACTCCCTCCCTCTGGGCCCTCTCCCCTGGGTCACTCCCTCCCTCTGGGTCCTCTCCCCCGGGTCGCTCCTTTCCCTCAAGCCCTCTCCCTTGGGTTGCTCCCTGTCCCCTCCCTCTGGGCCCTTTCCCCCGGCTCGCTCCCTCCCTCTGGGCTCTAGTCGTACGAGTAGCAGCAGAAGTAAAAGTATCAGTTGTATAAGTATTAGTTGGACAAAGACTACTTTACATTTTCCATTAGTTTGGAGTGATAATGCAGGAATCGTAATCATATATAGATTCATTACCATTACCATGCTTAATGCTCGTTATTGATGAAGTGCTATATTTCTCCTTCTTTCGTCTTCCTGTTTCCGCCATGTTTGATTAGGTTAAATTACTCATATTTATAATCAGGATTTCAATCATTTCTCTAACTGTTTGCAGAACCTTTGGCCCTGGGCTTGTGCTTGTTCTATCTGCAAAACATGAGCAAAGACACGTTCAGAAGAAATTAGTAAAAATGACCAGGCTCCTTACTTAAAGTGCACAGCGTTTACACAACGACAGAACACGCTGTAGTTGTAGCTTGTGGCCACTAGGCGGCAGTGAAACGCACGCGACCCCCGGCAGTAGAACCACTTCCTCAACAACATCCTCCTCAGGCCAAAGACGGGAAAGAACCAACATCATTCTGTAACAGCAGCAGTGAAAATGGAAGGAAAGACCTGCGGGACCTCTCATACAGCGAGGGTGAATAAGTCTGTCCCTGAAGCTGCTTGAACCACTTCATTTGAGCCATGAATACCTCATTATTTTTATTTTTTGCTGTGTAGCTCATTTTAGAAGCAGGAGTTAAAGCAGTGAAAGTTTGTGAAAGTGTAAAAGCTGAGACAAAGCGCTCTCTCAAAGGGAACGTGTTTGGTTTGTGCAGAATCCTCCGCAGACGACTGCAGTGAAGCTGAAGTGGCTCCTGCTGGAACTCTGCATAAAACATTCATGAGGCTCAGAATAAATGCTGCACTGTTTCAAGAACGCCTTCAGGGATCTTTTAAGCATTAAAATGAATATCATGTCTATTGTATTTGGCACAAAGAACTGCTTAAAGGTGCTCGGTGTCGTTTTTACAGTTTTTACAATGAAAACCAATAATTAATTTTAGAATATTTACCTCCACCATGTTTTTTAATTCTTGTCATAGGCTCAGAATGTGACTTATAAATGTCCATGAGGCGGAGGACTCTCTGTGTCAAGGCTTCATCTTGGAATACAGTGGTTGAGAAGGGACAAAAAGGAGTTTGAGCGGGAGTCGGGGACCACTGTCAAAGACCACATGTTGTTCTGTGAAGCTACCACAGCACCGTAGATTATAATATATGGTCAGCACTAGATCATATACAGAATCGGGACGGAAGCTGAAGTAAATATAACTAACTACCTAAACTAAGAGATCCATGCCTAAACTTAACCAGCCATTCCCATAGATAAACACCAACCCACCCTTAACCCTAACCTTAACCATCTTACTCAGACCACCTTAACCCTAACCTTAACCATCTTACTCAGACCACCTTAACCCTAACCTTAACCATCTTACTCAGACCCACCTTAACCCTAACCTTAACCATCTTACTCAGACCACCTTAACCCTAACCTTAACCATCTTACTCAGACCACCTTAACCCTAACCTTAACCATCTTACTCAGATCCACCTTAACCCTAACCTTAACCATCTTACTCAGACCACCTTAACCCTAACCTTAACCATCTTACTCAGACCACCTTAACCCTAACCTTAACCATCTTACTCAGACCCACCTTAACCCTAACCTTAACCATCTTACTCAGACCACCTTAACCCTAACCTTAACCATCTTACTCAGACCACCTTAACCCTAACCTTAACCATCTTACTGAGATCCACCTTAACCCTAACCTTAACCATCTTACTCAGACCACCTTAACCCTAACCTTAACCATCTTACTCAGACCACCTTAACCCTAACCTTAACCATCTTACTGAGATCCACCTTAACCCTAACCTTAACCATCTTACTCAGACCACCTTAACCCTAACCTTAACCATCTTACTCAGACCACCTTAACTCTAACCTTAACCATCTTACTCAGACCACCTTAACCCTAACCTTAACTATCTTACTCATCCATCCATCCATCCATTTTCTTCCCCTTAATCCATTTCTGGGTCGGGGGGGTGGTAGTCAGAGCTGCACCCAGTCCACAGAGCACCAGCCCCTCACTGATCCTCCTGCAGGTGGTGAGTCCACAGGAGCCGAGATCTTTCAGTGGGGGCTTCAGGAAAAGTGGGGTTAAGTGTCTTGCCCAAGGACACAACGACAGCAGTCATCAGTGGGAGCCATCTTACTCAGACCCACCTTAACCCTAACCTTAACCATCTTACTCAGACCACCTTAACCCTAACCTTAACCATCTTACTCAGACCACCTTAACCCTAACCTTAACCATCTTACTCAGACACCACCTTAACCCTAACCTTAACCATCTTACTCAGATCCACCTTAACCCTAACCTTAACCATCTTACTCAGACCACCTTAACCCTAACCTTAACCATCTTACTCAGACCACCTTAACCCTAACCTTAACCATCTTACTCAGACCACCTTAACCCTAACCTTAACCATCTTACTCAGATCCACCTTAACCCTAACCTTAACCATCTTACTCAGACCACCTTAACCCTAACCTTAACCATCTTACTCAGACCACCTTAACCCTAACCTTAACCATCTTACTCAGACCACCTTAACCTTAACCCTAACCATCTTACTCAGACCACCTTAACCCTAACCTTAACCATCTTACTCAGACCACCTTAACCTTAACCCTAACCATCTTACTCAGACCACCTTAACCCTAACCTTCACCATCTTACTCAGACCACCTTAACCCTAACCTTAACCATCTTACTCAGACCACCTTAACCCTAACCTTCACCATCTTACTCAGACCACCTTAACCCTAACCTTAACCATCTTACTCAGACCACCTTAACCCTAACCTTAACCATCTTACTCAGACCCACCTTAACCCTAACCTTAACCATCTTACTCAGACCACCTTAACCCTAACCTTAACCATCTTACTCAGACCACCTTAACCCTAACCTTAACCATCTTACTCAGACCACCTTAACCCTAACCTTAACCATCTTACTCAGACCCACCTTAACCCTAACCTTAACCATCTTACTCAGACCACCTTAACCCTAACCATAACCATCTTACTCAGACCACCTTAACCCTAACCTTAACCATCTTACTCAGACCACCTTAACCCTAACCTTAACCATCTTACTTAGACCACCTTAACCCTAACCTTAGCCATCTTACTCAGACCCACCTTAACCCTAACCTTAACCATCTTACTCAGACCACCTTAACCCTAACCTTAACCATCTTACTCAGACCACCTTAACCCTAACCTTAACCATCTTACTCAGACCCACCTTAACCCTAACCTTAACCATCTTACTCAGACCACCTTAACCCTAACCTTAACCATCTTACTCAGACCACCTTAACCCTAACCTTAACCATCTTACTCAGATCCACCTTAACCCTAACCTTAACCATCTTACTCAGACCACCTTAACCCTAACCTTAACCATCTTACTCAGACCACCTTAACCCTAACCTTAACCATCTTACTCAGACCCACCTTAACCCTAACCTTAACCATCTTACTCAGACCACCTTAACCCTAACCTTAACCATCTTACTCAGACCCACCTTAACCCTAACCTTAACCATCTTACTCAGACCACCTTAACCCTAACCTTAACCATCTTACTCAGACCACCTTAACCCTAACCTTAACCATCTTACTCAGACCCACCTTAACCCTAACCTTAACCATCTTACTCAGACCACCTTAACCCTAACCTTAACCATCTTACTCAGACCACCTTAACCCTAACCTTAACCATCTTACTCAGACCACCTTAACCCTAACCTTAACCATCTTACTCAGACCACCTTAACCCTAACCTTAACCATCTTACTCAGACCCACCTTAACCCTAACCTTAACCATCTTACTCAGACCACCTTAACCCTAACCTTAACCATCTTACTCAGACCGCCTTAACTCTAACCTTAACCATCTTACTCAGACCACCTTAACCCTAACCTTAACCATCTTACTCAGACCACCTTAACCCTAACCTTAACCATCTTACTCAGACCCACCTTAACCCTAACCTTAACCATCTTACTCAGACCACCTTAACCCTAACCTTAACCATCTTACTCAGACCACCTTAACCCTAACCTTAAACATCTTACTCAGACAACCTTAACCCTAACCTTAACCATCTTACTCAGACCACCTTAACCCTAACCTTAACCATCTTACTCAGACCACGTTAACCCTAACCTTAACCATCTTACTCAGACCACCTTAACCCTAACCTTAACCATCTTACTCAGACCCACCTTAACCCTAACCTTAACCATCTTACTCAGACCACCTTAACCCTAACCTTAACCATCTTACTCAGACCACCTTAACCCTAACCTTAACCATCTTACTCAGACCCACCTTAACCCTAACCTTAACCATCTTACTCAGACCACCTTAACCCTAACCTTAACCATCTTACTCAGACCACCTTAACCCTAACCTTAACCATCTTACTCAGACCACCTTAACCCTAACCTTAACCATCTTACTCAGACCACCTTAACCCTAACCTTAACCATCTTACTCAGACCCACCTTAACCCTAACCTTAACCATCTTACTCAGACCACCTTAACCCTAACCATAACCATCTTACTCAGACCACCTTAACCCTAACCTTAACCATCTTACTCAGACCACCTTAACCCTAACCTTAACCATCTTACTTAGACCACCTTAACCCTAACCTTAGCCATCTTACTCAGACCCACCTTAACCCTAACCTTAACCATCTTACTCAGACCACCTTAACCCTAACCTTAACCATCTTACTCAGACCACCTTAACCCTAACCTTAACCATCTTACTCAGACCCACCTTAACCCTAACCTTAACCATCTTACTCAGACCACCTTAACCCTAACCTTAACCATCTTACTCAGACCACCTTAACCCTAACCTTAACCATCTTACTCAGATCCACCTTAACCCTAACCTTAACCATCTTACTCAGACCAC